CGTTTATCTGACCTCACTGTGCACTACAGAATCCACACTGGAGATAAACCATTCGTCTGTGGAGACTGTGGGAAGAAGTTTAGTCACTCTTCAAACTACAAAGCACATGAGAGAATCCACACTGGAGAAAAGCCATTTGCATGTGACTTCTGCAGTAAAACCTTTAAAACAGCAACACATCGCACACGTCACCATCGGAGCCACACTGGAGAGAAGCCGTACGAGTGTGACCAGTGTGGAACATGTTTTTCCCAAAGAGGAAGTCTTGACCAGCACAAAAGAATCCACACTGGAGAGAAACCCTTCAGCTGCGACGATTGTGGTCAGAGTTTTTCTCTGAGTGGTAATCTCAAAGTGCATCAGAGGATCCACACTGGAGAGAAACCCTTCAGCTGCGACGATTGTGGTCAGAGTTTTTCTCTGAGTAGTAATCTCAAAGTGCATCAGAGGATCCACACTGGAGAGAAACCATTTGTCTGTGAAAAGTGTGAAAAGTGTTTTACTCATAGGATTTCTCTTACTAAACACATTAAAACCTGTAGAGAAGCAGGTCTGAAGCATCTGGACCAAAGTGAAGGAGACAGAGCTGAGGCTGCATCCTGTGAACCCAGAGTCAGACTCTACAGGATCTCACTTCAGTCTTAACTCCTGGTTTGGGGAAAGAATCCATTCTGTTCAGTGTTTCATTTTCATGTTTGACTTTTCTGTTCCTTGTTGTGACTCTATGATGTTGGTTTGTTGTGTCTTTGTGTCTGTAATTAGTTCCTGTGTCCTGATTGTTCATTTTTCACGTTTTCAAGAACAGACCATAATAAATGACATTTGAGTTGAGTCTTATTTTCCTCCATGTTTGTAAAGTCTTTGATTGTGATTCATGTCCTTCATATTATTCAATCACAGAATCAAATCACAAAACTGTCGAATATTGTAAGAATCTCAATAATATTGAATTGTGACAAATATCACTGTTAAATGTCTGTCACTACATTTCCCATGATGCACCTGTTAATATTGTAGTTCCCCAGGGTCTCCCGTAGCCATGTTCAGAGCTGTTCTTTACAGTGTTAGGGGCGGAGCCTGTGCGCGTGCGTCATGCCAACCATCAATAATCCTGTGTGTATAAGTTCTGTGTGCGTCTATGCAAAGTGAGTACCATGTGCCAATCTATATTTATGCTCCATTTATATACTTTAATGTCCGCTTCCTCCTTGTAGCTACAACACGTGGTGCGCCACGTGCATGACTGTAGGAGCACTCCATAATAAGCCCTGCTATATGTGGATAATGTACATATGTGTGTCTGTGTGTGTATAGTTTAGAACAGCCCGTTTCTGCTACACATATAGTTTGCCTTTTCATTATAAAGTTCCACGTAACACCATTTATAGAGTTAGAGCGCCCCCTTGTGGGCTACGGTTGTAATGTCACTCATTGATTACAGTGTATCTGTGTTCATAGTCTAAAAGGCTGTTTTTAATAAACATTTGATCTTTTGTGTTGATTCCAGAAAAGCACAGATACACATCTTCATCACCTCCGTATACCTGCTGCTATACCCTCCTTAGTACCTGGATACTCAACCTGTAACCCTTTCATATGAAAGCATAAACCTCCCAATCCACCATCTACGTCTGCAATAAACCTGTTCCCTCCTCTTCCATAAACAACTGTACACCTGGAGTTTGCCTGTTCCTTCTGACCCAGAAAGACTCAGTTGACGTCGTATCCATTATCAGCTCATCCAGACACTCACAGTATTTCACCATCACAATATTATCCAATTGTCACATTTTTTCCAATTCCCAGCCCTAGTCTTAACCCTGTGCTGCAGCTGCTGAGCTTTACAGACCAAACACACACTTTCCTCCAGGTAGACCCATAATGAGCTCTTTAGCATCATTTCCACAAAGATACTACACTTTTTATTCATGGTATCCACACATTACATTATAAATAATGTTATTGTAATAAATGTGTTTTATTTTGATTCTCTGGTTTTTAATGACCTGCTCACTCCAGTGGCTCTTTTATTCATGTCCTACAACCGTTGCTTTTAATATAAATACATTTTAAATCTCCCTTTCGGACACAGACAAACATTGAGACGCATTTTCTGATGATTAAAAATACAATCAACCATCAATATTTCCATACAGTATCTGTGTTCACAACTGAGTTGCTAGCCATCTGGTGGGCTCTTGATTGCGTAGAGAGGAATAATTTTGAATCCTCTTATATTTATTCAGATTCAGTGTCTGCTTTACAGGCTATATCTGCTGGCCTGTCTGGGGCCCGAGCCGATATAATCTTGGAGATGTTGTGTTGCCTCCGTCGGCTTGAAGCAAGGGGATCTAGTGTAGTATTTTGCTGGATCCCATCTCATTCAGGTATAGTGGGGAATGAGAGAGCTGATACACTGGCTAAGCAGTCTCTTCTGTGTGAGGAAATAGAGTATAACATCTGTTTGGGAAAATTAGAGTGTATAAGTATCATAAAAAGTTTTGTGCAAAATCAGTGGCAAAGAGTGTGGGAGAAAGAGAAAAGGGGGAGGCATTATTTTAATTCTCAGCCTCTTGTGCAAAATATTAGGCCTGTGTGGATATCTAGCCGGGACAAATCAGGTAAAGATTGTTAGATTGAGGCTGGGGCATTGTGGGCTAGCAGCATATTTGGAAGTCATTGGCAAGCATCGTGATGGATTATGTCAGTGTGGTCAACCTGAAACGGTGCCTCATGTGTTATTGTTTTGTGCTCTATACTCAACAGAAAGACAGATTATGTACAAGCAGCTGTCAGATCTTGGATTAGCAGTATTTTCATTAAAATCTATTGTAGCGTCTATGGAAGATTTTTTGTGTCATCAGATTATGATCTCTTGGATAGCGTCTGTGAGCTTGAATTCTTCAGTTTGAAATTTTTAACCCTGAAAAAGCAAGTTTGAATATTTTTATCTTTACATTTCAGTCACTAAAAATTCAGTTTACAAATTTCAATGTGATTAAAATTTCAAAATGACATATTCACCCTCAAAATATTCAAAACAAAAATTTTCAATGAAAAAAAAAAAAGACTGATTATTTGTTCCATCAGAAATTGAATTTTAAATGGACCTGAATTCATCTATTTGAAGGTTTTTAACATCTTGAATATTTTTTTCTGTGAATTTCAGTCACTGATTATCAATTTCATAATGTTAAATTCAACAGTCAAAATTCAACGAGAAAAAATTCAATGGTGAAAAATGCACATGACGGTGTTCTGACGAGTTATGTGCTCTGTCAGTTGGTCTGTCAGTTGGTCTGCGCATAATGAACTGTTTCCTCTTCACTGACGTTGGAATCTCTCGTTATCTACATTAGACCCTTTAGAACTAATAGAGATTTTGTTAACTTAAAATATTTACGTTACCGTCACTTTAAGAGAGAGAGAGAGAGGTTTTTCTTTGTTTACGGAGCGAGTGGAGCCGAAAGAGCACGTAACTTTTCACAGCTCAAGAAATAAGGAGCCATACGGTGTTCTTACCGTTGTTACTTTATTTCAGAGACAATTCAGCAAATATCATTTAGTGTTCAAGAGTTCGAGCTGTGGAATATATGTTTTCTGTTAATTCCTTTACATGGAGCTCTTTTTCAAGTAACACGAGTGAGCCCTGTGGAAACTGCTACACGGGAAACTAGACCCAAATACTGTGTAACGTTATCAACAATAACACTGTCATTTGTTGCTATAAATGTTCAAATGTGATGGTTTTCATGAACACAAACAAACACGCACAGCCTAAATAAATAAACAGGAATATACAGCAATAATGATTTGAAACAAGCACATTTACCCAAAATGTTTAAAAGACTAACTCATCAAATTAATGTAGTATCATCTTGTTATTCGCTTTGGTTTCATTACAATCCATTCATTAGAAATCCCATATCAACCTGTTAGATTCATGTTATCAACCGATAGACCTGCTGAAAGCTACGCCTGTCTTTACCTCAGTAAAATGACGCATGCGCAGACCAACTGACAGACCAACTGACAGAGCAACTGACAGAGCAACTGACAGAGCAACTGACAGAGCAACTGACAGACCAACTGACAGAGCACACAACTCGTCAGAACACCGGATGTGTCATGTTCATTTTTCACCATTTAATTTTTTCTCGTTGAATTTTGACTGTTGAATTTAACATTATGAAATTGATAATCAGTGACTGAAATTCACAGAAAAAAAACATTCAAATAGATGAACTCAGGTCCATTTAAAATTCAATTTCTGATGGAACAAATAATCCGTCTTTTGTATTTCATTGAAAAACATTTTTTTTTAATATTTTGAAGGTGAAAATGTCATTTTGAAATTTTAATCACATTGAAATTTGTAAACTGAATTATTAGTGATTAAATGCAAAGATGAAAATACTCAAACATGCTTTTTCAGAGTTAAACATTTCAAATGGAAAAATTCAAGCTAAATGTTTTTTTAAATCTGATGACACAAAAAATCTTCCATATTCTACACATGTTCTACTGATGTTCTACTGAACTTCAGTCCTGGGTCTACAGTCTCAGTCCTGGGTCTACAGCCTCAGTCCTGGGTCTACAGCCTCAGTCCCGGGTCTACAGCCTCAGTCCTGGGTCTACAGCCTCAGTCCTGGATCTACAGTCTCAGTCCTGGATCTACAGTCTCAGTCCTGGGTCTACAGCCTCAGTCCTGGGTCTACAGCCTCAGTCCTGGGTCTACAGCCTCAGTCCTGGATCTACAGTCTCAGTCCTGGATCTACAGCCTCAGTCCTGGGTCTACAGCCTCAGTCCTGTGTCTACAGCCTCAGTCCTGGGTCTACAGCCTCAGTCCTGGATCTACAGTCTCAGTCCTGGATCTACAGCCTCAGTCCTGGGTCTACAGCCTCAGTCCTGGGTTTATGGCCTTCGTCTCCCTGAGGTTTCTGTGTTGTTGCTTCTGTGGTGTGTAGTCTCTTTAATATCGTCATGGTGGTAAAGTGATCTTACGGCAGAGGATACTTCTTCCAGAGGAGTTTGGGTGGCAGGGTTTGGTAGACGGTCTTCTGCTTGCCCTCTGAGCCGCCGCTTCCTTCGCTGCTATCCACCACTTTAGAACTCTCCATCTTGTCGTCCCAGGTCCCAGACAGGACGTAGTGTGCCGTGTTCTCTCTGTCCTCCACCACACCTGAAACCTGAGCAGGTTCTGTGAGAGAGAGGCATCTGGAGACCGCACAACTGGCAGGTTTAGGGCTGACTCAAGCCCGTGGACCCTCTGGTCTCTTTCTGATCTCTCTCTGGTCTCTCTTTCTGGTCTCTGTCTGATCTCTCTCTCTAAACACTCTCTCTGCTCTCTGGGACACAATCCACGATCGACTGGTATAAATGCAACACAGCGTTGCACTCGTTTGGAAAAAAAAAGCCAGCCTTGAAAAAACGATGGCAGTTTTTTCATAAAAGAATTATGTTGAGATTACATCTTCTGTAGACCAGTGTTTTTCAACCTTTTTTGAGCCAAGGCACACTTTTTTCACTGAAAAAATCTTGCGGCACACCTCCAGGAGAAAATGTAAAAATGTATACAGTACTAATGTAAAAAAATATATACTGTACATACCAGGGACGTGCGGTGAGGTTTGTGATTGGGGAGGCACTGACTTTAAAAGTCAGATTTACAATCATTATTCAAATAAAATAGCATTTAATCACCAATGCAATGACATCCACAAACTTTATATACTGTAAAGATAAGAGAACCAGCTTCTTTTAACTCATTGACTGCCAGCCCATTTCAAAACAGGTACTCCCATATTGCCAGCCGTTTCTGGTGGTTTTTACTGATTTTTCAAGACCCACAGAATATTGTGTACTTTGACTATCTGAAATCTAAAACTAGATTCTGAAAGAATGGGCTGTCTACTCTCACCAGCAAAAAGAATTTTGTTTCTATCTTGTTTAGTTCTTCTGTAATCCCCAGTTGAGTAGAGGGAAGTTTTATTGAAATCACCAGAAAGCTGAGAAAAAAGGGCCACAAACAGTGCATCTAGCTGTGTTCAAACCATTCATAGCGCAATGCTGCCATCTGCTGGCTCCATAAAGTATTGCCTCAAGCCAATCTCCACATATTAGATTCAATGGACAGCTGGGAACGTAAAAATAGCGGGAAACGCAATTGACGTGTTAACACGTCATTGGCAGACAACGTTACTATTTAGTTTGACGTGTTAACACGTCATTGGCAGACAACGTTACTATTTAGTTTGACGTGTTAACACGTCAATGGCAGTCAATGAGTTAATAATCTCACAACAAATCTAGCTGCTGACTCTGCTCCGCATCAAACAACATCTTTAAGAAGCGCAGGTGCGAGAGACGCGAGGAGAGAGAGACGCGAGGAGAGAGGAGCAGAGAGAGACAGAGAGGAGCAGAGAGACGGAGACGCGAGGAGCAGAGAGAGACGGAGAGGAGCAGAGAGACGGAGACGCGAGGAGCAGAGAGAGACGGAGACGCGAGGAGAGAGAGACGCGAGGAGAGAGGAGCAGAGAGAGACGGAGACGCGAGGAGAGAGAGACGCGAGGAGAGAGAGACAGAGAGAGACAGAGAGGAGCAGAGAGACGGAGACGCGAGGAGCAGAGAGAGACAGAGAGGAGCAGAGAGACGGAGACGCGAGGAGCAGAGAGAGACGGAGACGCGAGGAGAGAGAGACGCGAGGAGAGAGGAGCAGAGAGAGACGGAGACGCGAGGAGAGAGAGACGCGAGGAGAGAGAGACGCGAGGAGAGAGGAGCAGAGAGAGACAGAGAGGAGCAGAGAGACGGAGACGCGAGGAGCAGAGAGAGACGGAGACGCGAGGAGCAGAGAGAGACGGAGAGGAGCAGAGAGAGACAGAGAGGAGCAGAGAGAGACGGAGACGCGAGGAGAGAGAGACGCGAGGAACATAAACAATAATTTAAACAAGTTGCAGAACTCTTGAGCAGTGTTTGAATCAGTGTTTTTCGGAAAAGCACTACTTTGCCGGTATCTGTCAATGTTCAACATAAAACACAGATTAACAAACTCCTCCCCCGCAGCCGGACTAACCTCGTAAGTCCAGTGGTGGTCTCCCAGTCTATATTAATTCTTTCTTTGTTTGAAAGTCCAATTGAGAAAAAAAATCTTCATTCAAATCATCCATTTTCCAGCAAAAGAAATAGCATTTTGGGCTGATTGTTTGTTAGCAACTCTGGTATGAACTTTATGCTCACTATCACCCCTAGCGGTGAGGCACAGATACCGCCTGCCTCACGCCAAGCTTTTTCCTTGTGTGTTCATCTACGATCAAAAGACTTAAACTAAATATAAATTGTACACACATACGTGCAATACACTACTAAACACTAAGAGGAGTTTAAAAAATGTTTTTAAAGCAGGATATTTGAAACAAACGGTGATATATCAACTGCACGAGCTGAGTGCACTCAGACACACACACACACACTGTGAGGGAGCGGTCTGAGGTGAGGCACGCAGGAGCGCTGCCTCACCTCGTCTCTTTGAATAGGAATAACGGGATTTCGGCGATTTTGACTTCAGAAATGATCAAAACTGATGGGAACCGTGCCGAATATACATTAAAAGCATAGGACAATGGATATAAATTATATATTTAAACTAAAATAATTATTAGTTTCCAATAATGGCAGGTGAGGCTCTGCCTCCCCTGCCTCCCCTGACTGCACGTCCCTGGTACATACTCTGTGTGATATATAAAGTATATCTTATCTTATCTTATCTTATAATGTATACAGTATACTCTGTAGCCTATATTCACAATATACAGTTATTCTCATCAAAATGCTTAAGTCCAGGCCTTGACATTAAGCTTTATTTAATATTTCTCAATACAATTAACAAGAGTTTGGGAATAAAGTGGCACTAACTGTGTGGAAAAAAACTAAGAAAATCCACTCTCTGCCCAAATAGTCAAATAATAACTCACACAAAGAACATGCATTGTTAGTGCATGGGAAAACATTTAGGTATCCGAGCTTTAAATTCAGGAGTTTTGGACGAGGGACACGGGAGGTCCTGAACGCGAGTCCATGGTTCTGTCCGGTCCGCATGTCTATGGTTCTGTCCACTCAACTATGGTCTGCGCTCGGTACCCAGTTCAGAAGTGCGTTTGCGAGAGCTGTTGTACAAAAATTGTACATTTCATAGTTAAACCACTACAACGCGGCCACAGCTGCCCCGGGGCAGAGCGGAGGATGTTAATCCTGTTCAGAAACGGCATAATTCATTTTCAAAAACGTCTCTATCACTTTCACTTCTCACTCGCCACAAAGCTCTTGTCTCGCTCCCTCCCACATTTGTTGGTCGCATCCAATTTTACCTTTCTCGCCACAATGCTGACCTGTTACAGCCAGTGGTCGCATCCAATTTTTCAGTTTCAAAGTACTGTTAGTATTAGATAGCAATATGGCCTACGTGCAGGACTGTACAAGGACTCTACAAGGACTCCATGTTATGACTATGATTTGACAGTCTCTTTGTGACACGTATGTCTTTCGATGTGTGACGTGACAATGACTATATAAACTGTGTACTGCCTTTATTCTGTCTGAGAGAAAGAAACAGAGTAAACCAGTGGAACTTGAGAGAAACTTAAATAAACTTCCAGAGTTTGGCGCGCCACGATCCGTCTCTGTCTGCTAAATCCTAACAGTACTTAGCTATCTGCTGCCATCTACTGATTTGAAAAAGTATTACATGGTTACTCCACAGTTCAAAACAAGTCACCGCTCGTCAACAGCGAATGCAGTTATTTTTAGACAAAGTAGACGAATTTCTCACGGCACACCAGACAATATCATACGGCACACTAGTGTGCCGCGGCACAGTGGTTGAAAAACACTGCTGTAGACGTCCTGAAACAGAGGGAGCTGGACTTACTTTACGAGCCACGTCTCTGGAGAAGTAGCTGTAGGGAGAGAACTTCAGGCGGCAGGTGTCCTTTGTTGTCCTGTTCACGATTTCAATATCTCCAGACTGAAAACAAACAACAAAAATTATTCCAAAATTCCACTTATTTGTAAACATACAAAATATCCCAATAGTACATGTACTATACATGTGATTTTATTCCTTCAATTTTCTCTTTCTCTGGTCTCTCTCTGGTCGCTCTATCGTCTCTCTCTCTAGTCGCTCTCTAATCTCTCTCTCTGGTCTCTCTCTCGTCGCTCTCTGGTCTCTCTCTGATCCCTCTCTCTGGTCTCTCTCTCTGGTCTCTCTCTCTGGTCTCTCTCTGGTCTCTCTCTCTCTGGTCTCTCTCTGTCTCTCTCTCTGGTCTCTCTCTGTCTCTCTCTCTGGTCTCTCTCTGATCCCTCTCTCTGGTCTCTCTCTGGTCTCTCTCTCTGGTCTCTCTCTGGTCTCTCTCTCTGGTCTCTCTCTCTGGTCTCTCTCTCTGGTCTCTCTCTCTGGTCTCTCTCTGGTCTTTATCTTTTCAGCTGTGGTGAGTTCAGATTGTTAGAGAAGTGTATAACGTGTGAGGGTTTTACTGTCTTAGTGAACACACCTGGTCAATCCAAAGCTTCCCCACTATAATGTTGTGCACCGTGGAGGTCACTTTGCTCCACACGTAGTGATTACCGCTGGCGTGGAAATGCAGATGGATGTTTCCTGTGGATGAAAGTCTTTTATTGTAGATCAGAAGAATGATATAGACCTGGGTCTACAGCCTCAGTCCTGAATCTACAGTCTCAGTCCTGGATCTACAGCCTCAGTCCTGGATCTACAGCCTCAGTCCTGGATCTACAGCCTCAGTCCTGGATCTACAGCCTCAGTCCTGGATCTACAGTCTCAGTCCTGGATCATCAGTCTCAGTCCTGGATCTACAGCCTCAGTCCTGGATCTACAGCCTCAGTCCTGGATCTACAGCCTCAGTCCTGGATCTACAGCCTCAGTCCTGGATCTACAGCCTCAGTACTGGATCTACAGCCTCAGTCCTGGATCTACAGCCTCAGTCCTGGATCTACAGCCTCAGTCCTGGATCTACAGCCTCAGTCCTGGATCTACAGCCTCAGTCCTGTATCTACAGCCTCAGTCCTGGATCTACAGCCTCAGTCCTGGATCTACAGCCCCGGTCCTGGATCTACAGTATTCAACACGTACCTAAAGGCATGACAGAAATGTATTTTCCCCTAAACTTGCTGTCGATGGTGATGTGTTGCCATAGAGACCATCCTCGCTGAGACGACGCATGGAGAGCAGCAGCTGGGGGGTGATGGCTGACCTACAAACATGTAAACACACACACGTGAACACACAGAGTAGAGTAGAGCAGAGCAGAAAAGAGTAGAGTAAAGCAAAGTACATTAGAGTAGAGTAGAGTAGAGTAGAGTAGAGTAGAGTAGAGTAGAGTAAAGCAGAGTAAAGCAGAGTAGAGTAGAGTAGAGTAGAGTAAAGCAGAGTAAAATAGAGTAAAGCAAAGTACAGTAGAGTAACACACACAGTGGTACCTAAACCTCACCTGCTCGCAGAGGGAGCGGTACCCAGCCTCCTCCAGCCGGTCCAGCTCGTAGGTCTCTCCCAGCAGGGGGTTGAAGGGCTTGGCGGTGCGGTGGACGGTGGTGGAGTACGACGACACAGAGAACGCCGCCACAAAACACATCTGCTCCAGAGATGAGGAGCAGCGAGCGGCTCGATCCAGCAGCTCACTATACTCCAGGTCCTCAGAGAGACGCTGCAGCATCGACAGCGGCTCGTTGAAGTTCACCTGGAGGAAACAGGAGACGGGAGTGGAACCAACAACCAGCACAGAAGAGGAGACAGGAGAGGGGAGTCGAACCAACAACCAGCACAGAGGAGGAGACAGGAGAGGGGTGTCGAACCAACAACCAGCACAGAGGAGGAGACAGGAGAGGGGTGTCGAACCAACAACCAGCACAGAAGAGGAGACAGGAGAGGGGAGTCGAACCAACAACCAGCACAGAAGAGGAGACAGGAGAGGGGAGTCAAACCAACAACCAGCACAGAGGAGGAGACAGGAGAGGGGTGTCGAACCAACAACCAGCACAGAGGAGGAGACAGGAGAGGGGTGTCGAACCAACAACCAGCACAGAAGAGGAGACAGGAGAGGGGAGTCGAACCAACAACCAGCACAGAAGAGGAGACAGGAGAGGGGAGTCAAACCAACAACCAGCACAGAGGAGGAGACAGGAGAGGGGTGTCAAACCAACAACCAGCACAGAGGAGGAGACAGGAGAGGGGTGTCGAACCAACAACCAGCACAGAAGAGGAGACAGGAGAGGGGAGTCGAACCAGCAACCAGCACAGAAGAGGAGACAGGAGAGGGGAGTCAAACCAACAACCAGCACAGAAGAGGAGACAGGAGAGGGGAGTCGAACCAACAACCCACAGTGACCCCACAATAAGCTGACTGCATTCGAAGATGTTAATAAAACGAACAGATGGAAGCGTCGCTAAGAGCAGGTTGTGTTTGTAGCAGATAGCTGTTAGCATGGAAGTTGTTAGCATGGTAGCTGTTAGCATGGGCATTAACCCCATCAGCCCCAGCACCAGGAGCCAGGCCCACACACCAGGTGAGTGCTTTAAGCCTGGCTCCTGGTTTTTATAGACTGAAGACCGTGGTAAAGATAATGCGCTGCAACATGTATTATATTTTTAAATATCTCATGGCACTGGTCGGTTGGACAGAAATAGAAAGAAAACAAGTTTATAATCTGCTATATGAGGATATATCATATTGTATGATATCATAAATATGTTATGGTTGTTACCGGCATGTATGATATAATATAATATGTTATGGTTGTTACCGGCATGTATGATATAATATAATATTTTATGGTTGTGTTACCGGCATGTATGATATACTATAATATGTTATGGTTGTGTTACCGGCATGTATGATATAATATAATATGTTATGGTTGTGTTACCGGCATGTATGATATAATATAATATGTTATGGTTGTGTTACCGGCATGTATGATATAATATAATATGTTATGGTTGTGTTACCGGCATGTATGATATACTATAATATGTTATGGTTGTGTTACCGGCATGTATGATATACTATAATATGTCATGGTTGTGTTACCGGCATGTTTGATATAATATAATATGTTATGGTTGTGTTACCGGCATGTATGATATACTATAATATGTCATGGTTGTGTTACCGGCATGTTTGATATAATATAATATGTTATGGTTGTGTTACCGGCATGTATGATATAATATAATATGTTATGGTTGTGTTACCGGCAGTGTATGATATACTATAATATGTCATGGTTGTGTTACCGGCATGTATGATATAATATAATATGTTATGGTTGTGTTACCGGGCATGGGGATCCGGGACAGGTCTTTGCCGATGCAGTTCTTCATGATGGACCACAGGTTCAGGGAGTAGTTGGGTTTGTCTGGGATACGGCACCGTCGCACTCTCCTGTGATTGGTCACTGAGGAATCCTGAACAACATTCAAATATTAGCTGTTAGATATTAGAGATATAAATATATGTTAGATATTAGAGATATAGATATATGTTAGATATTAGAGATATAGATATATGTTAGATATTAGAGTTATAGATATATGTTAGATATTAGAGATATAGATATATGTTAGATATTAGAGATATAGATATATGTTAGATATTAGAGTTATAGATATATGTTAGATATTAGAGATATAGATATATGTTAGATATTAGAGGTATAGATATATGTTAGATATTAGATATAGATATATGTTAGATATTAGAGTTATAGATATATGTTAGATATTAGAGTTATAGATATATGTTAGATATTAGAGATATAAATATATGTTAGAAATTAGAGATATAGATATATGTTAGATATTAGAGATATAGAAATAATGTTAGATATTAGATATAGATATATGTTAGATATTAGAGATATAGATATATGTTAGATATTAGAGATATAGATATATGTTAGATATTAGAGATATAGATATATGTTAGATATTAGAGATATAGAAATATGTTAGATATTAGAGATATAGATATATGTTAGATATTAGAGATATAGATATATGTTAGATATTAGAGTTATAGATATGTTAGATATTAGAGATATAGATATGTTAGATATTAGAGATATAGACATATGTTAGATTAACGGCTTATTAACCGAGCGCGAGGTCTGTATGGAGAAATATCAGACCGCGGCCTTAAAGAACGACTAAACACCAAATAAACTTTTTTTAACCCATCCATCCATCCATTTTCTTCCGCTTTATCCGTTGCCGGGTCGCGGGGGCAGCAGTCTAAGCAGAGACGCCCAGACTTCCCTATCCACACACACCTCCTCCAGCTCGTCCGGGGGGACCCCAAGGCGTTCCCAGGCCAGCTGAGAGACATAGTCTCTCCAGCGTGTCCTGGGTCTTCCCCGGGGCCTCCTCCCGGTGGGACGTGCCCGGAACACCTCCCCAGGAAGGCGTCCAGGAGGCATCCTGAACAGATGCCCGAGCCACCTCAACTGGTTCCTCTCGACGTGGAGAAGCAGCGGCTCTACTCCGAGCTCCTCCCGTGTGACTGAGCTCCTCACCCTATCTCTAAGGGAGCGCCCAGCCACTCTGCGGAGGAAGCTCATTTCGACCGCTTGTATCCGCGATCTCGTTCTTTCGGTCATTACCCAAAGCTCATGACCATAGGTGAGGGAGGGAACGAAGATTGACCGGTAAATCGAGAGCTTTGCCTTTCGGCTCAGCTCCCTCTTTACCACAACGGTCCGATACAGAGACCGCATCACTGCGCACGCTGCACCGATCCGCCTGTCAATCTCACGCTCCATTCTTCCCTCACTCGTGAACAAGACCCCGAGATACTTGAACTCCTCCACTTGAGGAAGGACCTCTCCACCCACCTGGAGAGGGCAAGGCACCTTTTTCCGGTCGAGCACCATGGCCTCGGATTTGGAGGTGCTGATTCTCATCCCAGCCGCTTCGCACTCGGCTGCAAACCGTCCCAGTGCATGCTGCAGGTCCTGGTTCGTTGGAGCCAACAGGACGACATCATCCGCAAAAAGTAGAGATGAAATCCTGTGGCTCCCGAACCGGACCCCCTCCGGCCCCTGGCTGCGCCAAGAAATTCTGTCCATAAATACAGTGAACAGAACCGGTGACAAAGGGCAGCCTTGGCGGAGGCCAACATGCACCGGGAACAGGTCTGACTTACTGCCGGCAATGCGAACACAGCTCTGGCTCCGGTCATACAGGGACCAGACGGCCCTCAGCAGAGGACCCCGGACCCCGTACTCCCGGAGGACCCCCCAAAGGACACCCCGGGAACACGGTCGAACGCCTTCTCCAAATCCACAAAGCACATGTGGACAGGTTGGGCGAACTCCCATGAACCCTCGAGTATCCGATGGAGAGTATAGAGCTGGTCCAGTGTTCCGCGACCGGGACGAAAACCACACTGCTCCTCCTGAATCCGAGATTCGACCATCGGACGTAGCCTCCTCTCCAGTACCTTGGAGTAGACCTTACCGGGGAGGCTGAGGAGTGTGATCCCACGATAATTGGAACACACCCTCCGGTCCCCCTTCTTGTAGAGAGGGACCACCACCCCGGTCTGCCACTCCATTGGCACCGCCCCCGATCGCCACGCGATGTTGCAGAGACGTGTCAGCCAAGACAGTCCTACAACATCCAGAGACTTTAGATAGTCAGGACGGATCTCATCCACTCCCGGCGCCTTGCCACCATGGAGGCTGCCAACCACCTTGGTGACCTCGGCCAGGGAGATGGAAGTGTCCGCCCCAACATCCTCAGCCTCTGCCTCCTGAACGGAGGACGTGACGGGGGGATTGAGGAGCACCTCGAAGTATTCCTTCCACCGCCCGACAATATCCTCAGTCGAGGTCAGCAGCCCTCCACCCGCACCATACACGGTGTTGGCAAAGAACTGCTTCCCCCTCCTGAGGCGCCGGACGGTTTGCCAGAACCTCTTCGAGGCCGACCGATAGTCATGCTCCATGGACTCTCCGAACTCCTCCCAGTCCCGGGTTTTTGCCTCTGCAACAGCCCGGGCCGCGGCACGTTTGGCCTGCCGGTACTGGACAGCTGCCTCAGGAGTCCCACGAACCATCATTGCTCGATAGGACTCCTTCTTCAGCCTGACGGCATCCCTTACTGCCGGTGTCCACCACCGGGTTCGGGGATTGCCGCCGGGACCAGCACCAGAGACCTTGCGACCACAGCTACGAGCCGCCGCATTGGCGATAGAGGAAGAGAACATGGTCCACTCGGACTCGATGTCCCCCTCCTCCGCCGGGACCTGGGAGAAGCTCTCCCGGAGGTGTGAGTTGAAAGTCCGTCTGACAGGGGGCTCAGCGAGACGTTCCCAGCAAACCCTCACTATACGCTTGGGTCTGCCAGGTCTGACCGGCTTCTTCCCCTGCCAGCGGATCCAACTCACGACCAGGTGATGATCGGTTGACAGCTCCGCCCCTCTCTTTACCCGAGTGTCCGAGACACGCGGTCGAAGGTCAACAAAGTCGATCATCGACCTCCGGCCTAGGGTGTCCTGGTGCCACGTGCACTGGTGGACACCCTTGTGCTCGAACATGGTGTTCGTGATGGACAGGCCGTGACTGGCACAGAAGTCCAACAACTGAACACTGCTCGGGTTCAGATCTGGGGGGCCGCTCTTCCCGATCACCCCTCTCCAAGTGTCACTGGCATTTCCCACATGGGCGTTGAAGTCCCCCAGGAGAATAACGGAGTCCCCGGGCGGTGCACTGTCCAGTACCCCTCCCAAGGACTCCAAGAAGGCCGGGTACTCTGCACTACCGTTAGGCCCGTAGGCCGTCACAACAGTGAGAGACATGTCCCCCACCCGGAGGCGGAGGGACGCGACCCTCTCATTCACCGGGGAGAACTCCAACACGTGGCGGCTGAGATGGGGGGCAATGAGTATGGCCACCCCAGCTCGCCGCCTCTCCCCGCGGGAAACACCAGAAAAGTGGAGCGTCCAACCCCTCTCAAGGAGTTGGGTTCCAGAGCCCAAGCTGTGTGTGGAGGTGAGGCCGACTATCTCTAGTCGGTATCGCTCAACCTCCCCCACAAGCTCGGGCTCCTTCCCCCCCAGTGAGGTGACGTTCCACGTCCCAAGAGCCAGATGTTGGGTGTGTGGACTGGGTCGTCGAGGTCTCCGCCTTCAACCGCTGCCCAGTCCTCGCTGCACCACGCCACCACGGACCCCTCTGCAGGTGGTGGGCCCACAGGAGGGACTGCCCACGTCATCCCTTCGGGCTGAGCCCAGCCGGGCCCCGTGGGCTAAGGCGCCACCAGGCGCTCGCTTGCGAGCCCCGACCCCAGGCCTGGCTCCAGGGTGGGGCCCCGGCTGCGCCATGCCGGGCGACGTCACGGTTTTCGTTGTCGTGCTGTCCATGGTTGGCTTTGGACTGCGCTTCGTCTGACTCGTCACTTGAGACCTGTCTGCCATGGGAGGCCCTACCAGGGGCATGAAGCCCCAGACAGCATAGCTCCCAGGATCATCCGAGTGCTCAAACTCCCCCACCACGTTAAGGTGGCAGTCCAAGGGGGGGTTTATTTTTAACCCATAAACTGCATAAATATGTTTATTGTAGTTCTGTCTACATATCCTGGTCATTTTTTTGACATTTTAGTTCAAATTAGATAAAATATCACTTTTGAGCCAAAAAAACGCTGTGTGGTGCCCTCTCAACCTTTATGGTGGTACTACATTTGAATTTGGTTCTGGCCTCTCCATTGACTCTGAAGTTCTCTATGACATCAGTTGTTTTGTGTGACGTCAGTCTGTCAGAGCCAGTGATGTGAACCCATTCAACTCTCACACACGCCCCAGCTGCAGTTTGGAGTATTCTGGCGCCATCTAGTGGATTAAAATTAAATTACATGAGTCATTTTGAGATTATTGAGTGTGATTAGGCTCAGGTGTGTAGCTTTACAATTATCTTAGTGTGGGTGGAATGAGACTTTCTGGTCTGTTAACTATTGCTTTAAGCAGCAATGACAACTGTCTGTTTTTTTTGTGTGACAAGTGAGCTGTCAATCACAGCCCAGACCAACCCCAACTCTAAGCCCCCCTTCTTGTCCCTTGGTCCTCCAGGCAACTTCATGTGGGCGGAGTAAGGCTGGGCACAGGTGTTTAGTCGCTCTTTAATGTACAGACCGAGCCGTGGCGAGCTCTGTGCAAAAAGGCCAAGGTCTGATATTTTTCTGTACAGACCGAGCAAGCGAAGTTAATAAATGTTTTATTATATGACTCTGGTCTGTGTCTTTACCAATGCTTTTGAGATATTTGTGAAGTATGTTCATGTCTGACTTGGTTTTTGTGTGATACGCGCTGCGGACAGATTGTCATGGTAACGGTCCGAGGAAAGATATCAAATGTGATACGCGCTGTTCGGACCAATTGTCATGGTAACAGTCCGAGATGGGAAAATATCAGACCGGTAATCAGCCAATCAGAGCGCGCGTACGGTCCAAGTCATATAATAAATTAGAGATAATAATATGTTAGATATTAGAGATATAGATATATGTTAGATATTAGAGATATAGATATATGTTAGAAATAGACACTTACATTGTCGTTGAGAGACCAGTCGTGGGCTGTTCCTCCGCTCATGCTCTGGTTACTCCCTGAACGTCTGAAGACAGAGTTAGGAGAGAGATCAGGAGAGAGAGCAGGAGAGAGAAAAGAGAGAGGAGGAGAGAAGAGATAGAGCAGAGAGGAGGAGAGAGTAGAGAGAAGAGGAGAGGAGAGAGAGGAGGGTAGAGAGAGGAGGAGAGAGGAGAGAGAAGAGTGAGATGGAGAGAGGAGAGAGGAAGAGAGAAAGAGAGGAGGAGAGAGAAGGTGAGAGGAGAAAGAGGAGGAAGAAAGAGAGGAAGCGAAAGGAGAGGGAGGAGGAGAGGAGAGAGAAGAGGAGAAAGGAGAGAGAGGAGTGGAGAGAAGAGGGAGGAGCGGAGGAGAGAGGACAGAGAGCAGGAAAGAAGACAGAGAGGGGAGAGAAGAGGGAGGAGGAGAGGAGAGAGGACAGAGAGGAGGAGAGAAGACAGAGAGGAGAGAGAGGAGGGGAGAGAAGAGGGAGGAGGAGAGGAGAGAGGACAGAGAGGAGAGAGATGAGGGGAGAGAGAGATGGTAGGGGAGTGAGGTGAGAGGAGGGGAGAGAGGAAGGAACTGTGTGCATGTGTGTGTTTCGTACTTGTGTTGTGTGTTGCTGGTCGCAGCCACAGTTATAAACGCAGGGGAATCCTCCATTGCATCAAAAAACTCTGGCTCCTCATTATCATCACTGTGGTCCTCGTTCTGAGGCCTCTCCACTGCAACACACACACATACACATACACGCATACACACAGACACACAGACACACACGCACATGCATACACACAGACACACACACACAGACAGAGACACACAAACACACACACACAGACACACACACATACAGACACAAACACGCATACACACACACAGACACAGAAACACAGAGACACACAGACAAACACACAGACACAAACACACAGACATACACACAAACACAAACACACAGACATACACGCATACACAGAGACACAGACACACACACATACACGCACAAACAGAGCCACAGACACACAGACATACACGCATACACACGCACAGACACAGACAGTCAGACATACACGCACAAACAGACACACAAACACACACACATACGATGATGATTCAATTCCATATATTTTTATCGCCCTAAATCACAACAGGCGTTATCTCAAGGACTTTACAAACTTTGATTCTCCACAAAAACATGATCCAACAAAGAGACATTAGTCCAAGTCCTGGATCCTCCCCTGACCTGAGTATGATGAGGTTCTCCTCTGACCTGAGTATGACGAGGGTCAGACCTGAGTATGATGAGGTTCTCCTCTGACCTGAGTATGATGAGGGTCAGACCTGAGTATGATGAGGGTCAGACCTGAGTATGACGAGGGTCAGACCTGAGTATGATGTAGGGATGTAAAAAACTATGAATTTTCATGACCGACCACCGAGCCTCATTAACCGGTTGAAACCGGTTAACCGCGTAGTTTAAAATAGTCCACGTTCTTTGAAATAACAGCCATTTCGAGCCGCGTACTTTTCATAAGTGCAGCTCTGCGTTCTACTGGATCAGAGCCGAGACAGCGGCGCCCAAACCCGCAACAGCTCCGGCACCTTTGCGCACAGAGAACTGCTTTTTTAATCTTCCCATTCTTCTGTGCTGCGGGTTAATACCAAAACTTTCTACAGTAGCAGCAAACGACGGCTCGTTCACATGGTCAGAGCAGCGAGTGACGAGCCGCGTCTCACAGGTCTTCACAAAAGTTTAAATACAAGTGATGTGTGTGGAGCTGATCCCGAGGACCATAAACACAAACATGTTCCATGTGGTTTGACTGGAGCCGCGTATTTGCGCGAATCCTTTGGGCTCCGTGACACAGAGGAGCGCGACAGACCGGTATGTGTGTGTGTATGTGTGTGTGTATGTGTGTGTGTGTGTATGTGTGTGTGTGTGTGTATGTGTGTGTGTATGTATGTGTGTGTGTATGTATATGTGTGTGTGTGTAAATGTAAGCTCCAATGTAGTTCTGACTCGCGCCAGTGTGCAACTTTGACGGTAACAGAGAGGACAGATGATGCGTGTGGATGTTACGTATGGAGAGGGGGAAAGTGTGTGCGCGTGTGTGCGTGTGTGCGTGTGTGTGTGTGTGTGTATGTGTGTGTGTATGTATGTGTGTGTGTATGTATATGTGTGTGTGTGTAAATGTAAGCTCCAATGTAGTTCTGACTCGCGCCAGTGTGCAACTTTGACGGTAACAGAGAGGACAGATGATGCGTGTGGATGTTACGTATGGAGAGGGGGAAAGTGTGTGTGTGTGTGTGTGTGTATGTGCGCGTGCGCGTGTGTGCGTGTGTGTGTGTGCGCGCGTGTGTGCATATGTGGCTCGTGCGGCGTGAGAGTCGTCCCGGAGTTTATAATACATGGGCGCACACAGCTAGATACAGACCCGCTCGTCACATCGTGCAAATAGGGCTTAAAATAGCGTTATTAAGAGACCTCCCCTCTCCCCTTTTTCTCTTTTTTAACCGACAGCTTTGACCGGTTAACGCTGTGACGGTCAACCACCGGTTAAACGGTCGCCGATTTACATCCCTAGTATGATGAGGTTCTCCTCTGACCTGAGTATGATGAGGGTCAGACCTGAGTATGATGAGGGTCAGACCTGAGTATGATGAGGGTCAGACCTGAGTATGATGAGGGTCAGACCTGAGTATGATGAGGGTCAGACCTGAGTATGATGAGGTTCTCCTCTGACCTGAGTATGATGAGGGTCAGACCTTAGTATGATGAGGGTCAGACCTGAGTATGATGAGGGTCAGACCTGAGTATGATGAGGTTCTCCTCTGACCTGAGTATGATGAGGGTCTGACCTGAGTATGATGAGGTTCTCCTCTGACCTGAGTACCATGAGGGTCTAATCTGAGTATGATGAGGTTCTCCTCTGACCTGAGTATGATGAGGTTCTCCTCTGACCTGAGTATGATGAGGGTCAGACCTGAGTATGATGAGGTTCTCCTCTGACCTGAGTATGATGAGGTTCTCCTCTGACTTGAGTATGATGAGATTCTCCTCTGACCTGAGTATGATGAGGTTCTCCTCTGACCTGAGTATGATGAGGGTCAGACCTGAGTATGATGAGGGTCTGACCTGAGTATGATGAGGGCTTCTCCCTCCACGCCGTCTCGAGGCTGTTGTGCTGTTTTGCCAGTTGCTCGATAGTTTCCTCCAGATGGTGGCGCTGTTCCCTCTCATACTGCAGAGCCTTCTGCCAGCGGCGACTGTGAGACTCAGCTACATCCACAAAGTCCTGGCAGGCCTGAGGAACCATGAGAGGCAGGACCATGAGGAGCAGAACCATGAGAGGCAGAACCATGAGGAGCAGAACCATGAGAGGCAGAACCATGAGGAGCAGAACCATGAGAGGCAGAACCATGAGGAGCAGAACCATGAAGAGGCAGAACCATGAGGTTAGATAGATTAGATATTAGAGATAGGGTCAGATTTGGTTCCTATGGCACTAACATTTCAGATGTACTTTGCTGTGAGGTCATGGAGAGACACCAAACAAGTCTTTTCTCTGAGCCACAGGAAGCATAGACCTGAGACCAGGACTAATTTGAAAGTACTTCCTGGTTCTAGCCTGGGCTCTGCAGTGTTTTAAACTTGTTTGGAGAAACCCGTAACAGCCGTAACAGTCATCTAACACTGAAGATCAATGTATAGGTAAGAATCTTGACAACTGCGATCTCAGTCTGTGGTGGAGTCTAAAGCCAGACTGGAACATGTCGAATTAGTTGTTAATGTCACCAATACGAAATATGGTAAGCTGCTGGTGAAGCTGTTTTTTTCCCAGGACTTTCCCAATAAATATCATATTGGAGATGAACGATAGTTGTTAAGTACAGTGGATCCAGAAAGCTCTTTAGCAGGGGCCCAATGACCTTGGTTTAAAGGGACTTTGAGAATGTTCTCAAGGGACTGAGGCCACATGATTCATACTCACATTGATCATAGCATTGGAGGTGATGCGGAACAACGTGGCCCTCTCATTCACTGCCTTCAGTCGGTCGCTCCCCCGGTCTCCCCCCCGCTCACCCCCCCTCTCACCCCCCCGGTCTCCCCCCCGGTCGGCCTCCTCCAGCTCAGTGAGCGACCGCTGCAGTGCGGCGCCGTGTTTCCCGATCAGCTCGTTGCACGTGCTGAGGTCGTCCAGACGGGAGCTCAGCGTCTGCAGAACGCCATGGTCGAGGAGGCGGTCGTCTTGAGGGCCATCATCCCCTGAGTCATCTACACAGGGAATATACAGAGTTAGAGAAGAGAGCAAGAGGGGGGATAGAGGAGGCAAAGGGAGACAGAGGGGAGAGATGAGGAGAGAGGGGAGGAGAGGAGGTCCTCCTGCGGCCAAGGACCCTCAGCTCTAGAGTTGTGTGCACATAGTCCAGATTACAGAAGTGTATAGAATAAATGTAAAAGATATAAAATCTCTAAATATATCACCTGAACATTTACTTCTGTAAAAAACACCCAGATTAATAATAACACAAAAATACTAATCTAATCTAATCAAATGTAGTCTCAATGTTTATCAGAAAAATCTCAACAATGAGTTGCCCCCTGCAGATGAAGCCTAATCTGTCAGACCTCTGAAGCTAAGCAGGGCAGGGCCTGGTTAGTACTGTGACGGGAGACCTCTGGGAACACCAGGTGCCACAGTGACTGTAAAGTGCCAAACTGCTGTTGTGTCCTTAGGCAAGACACTCCATATTATTATGAGTCTGATGTCTTTGTAAATGTTAAGTAGTGTTGGGAGGGGCTGATGGCACAGGGTGGTTGCCTGGCGTTTGTCAGAGTGCCCCAGGGCAGCTGTGGCTTTGCCCAGATACTACTAGTTACTCAGATGTTTATAATGACAGTATTTAATCGTATAGATAGTTTCCTAAGAGCGGAAAATAACAGTGATTTCCTGGAGCCAGAAAGCTGTGAATGAACACTGTTGCCTTGGAAACGTGTAGCCGTCCAATCAGGAGCCAAAGCTATATTTAGAATTTGAAAAAAATAAAGACATGACGCAGTTTACTGTCCTCTGTGTGACTCAAAACGAGCATTTCATACACAGCTGCAATACAGCACCTGTATATACAAAACCTGTATCTAACATACAGCACCTGTATCTAACATACAGCACCTGTATCTGTCATACAGCACCTGTATCTAACATACAGCACCTGTATCTAACATACAGCACCTGTATCTAACATACAGCACCTGTATCTGTCATACAGCACCTGTAACTAACATACAGAACCTGTATCTAACATTCAGTACCTGTATCTGTCATACAGCACCTGTATCTAACATACAGCACCTGTATCTAACATTCAGCACCTGTATCTGTCATACAGCACCTGTATCTAACATACAGCACCTGTTTCTGCCATACAGTCCTGGGTCTAAAGCTTCACTCCCGCTCCCTTTCTAAACTCAATGAAAGTCTGATTCTGATACTTTTGCCCACAATACCAATAATTGTGGGCAAATAATAATAATGATAATTGTAATAATCATTATTATTATTATAATTATCATTATTATTATTATCATTATCATTATTATTACAATTATCACAATTATCACGATTATTACAATGATTATTCAGAGGGATCAGTCCCAGTGGATAACGCTGAGATGCATGACCCACTTCCACAGAGCTGGCGCGTCCACAACAGTCGTATCAAGAGTCACTTTGTCTTATTGTTTCATGAACATTTGGGTTTTCGGCTCAGAGCGAATGAGATCAACGTCAGACACAACCTCTGACCCCGGATCCCAGACCCCGTACCCCGGATCCTAGACCCCGTACCCCTGACCCCGGATCCCAGACCCCGTACCCCGGATCCTAGACCCCGTACCCCTGACCCCGGATCCCAGACCCCGTACCCCGGATCCTAGACCCCGTACCCCTGACCCCGGATCCCAGACCCCGTACCCCGGATCCTAGACCCCGTACCCCTGACCCCGGATCCCAGACCCCGTACCCCTGACCCCGGATCCCAGACCCCGTACCCCGGATCCTAGACCCCGTACCCCTGACCCCGGATCCCAGACCCCGTACCCCGGATCCTAGACCCCGTACCCCTGACCCCGGATCCTAGACCCCGTACTCCTGACCCCGGATCCCAGACCCCGTACCCCTGACCCCGGATCCTAGACCCCCTACCCCGGATCCTAGACCCCGTACCCCTGACCCCGGATCCCAGACCCCGGATCCTAGACCCCGTACCCCTGACCCCGGATCCCAGACCCCGTACCCCTGACCCCGGATCCTAGACCCCGTACCCCGGATCCTAGACCCCGTACCCTTGACCCCGGATCCCAGACCCCGTACCCCTGACCCCGGATCCTAGACCCCGTACCCCGGATCCTAGACCCCGTACCCCTGACCCCGGATCCCAGACCCCGTACCCCTGACCTCGGATCCCGGACCCCGGATCCCGGACCTTGGACTCCTGACCCCAGATCCCGGACCCACGGTGCAAGCACAACATTATTACAAATGTAACTTCATGCATTATCTCATTACTGCGGAATATAAAACTACAATTCCCACCTCTACACCTTCTCCACCGACTCCCACTGATGACTGCTGTCGTTGTGTCCTTGGGCAAGACACTTAACCCCACTTTGCCCAAAGCCCCCACTGAAAGATCAAGGCTATGCTCACACTCAGAGAGCAGCCGTCCTCCTGTGGACTCACCACCTGCAGAGGGTCAGTGAGGGGCTGGTGCTATGAGACTTGGGTGGCATCTCTGACTGCCACCCCCCTGACCCAGAAATGGATTAAAGGGTAGAAAATGGATGGATGGATGGATAAAACTACAATTCTATGGTGCACTTCACATCAAAACATCAGCCTCATACTCACACAGGGGCCCCCATCGTGTCCTCCTCCTACTGTCCCAGAGAGAATGTCCCTGAGAGAATGTCCCTGAGAGGTACTGTCCCAGAGAGAATGTCCCAGAGAGAATGTCCCTGAGAGGTACTGTCCCAGAGAGAATGTCCCAGAGAGAATGTCCCAGAGAGAATGTCCCAGAGAGACTGTCCCAGAGAGTCTGTCCCAGAGAGACTGTCCCAGAGAGTCTGTCCCAGAGACGTGTGCAGAGATCTGTGTTGTCAGAGAGATACACGCGCCTCCTTCCCAGAGGAGGAGGAGCCAACACCAAGGTCGTTTCATTTACTCACTACTGCTGTCATTGAGGAGGGAGGGAGAGAGAGAGGGGAGGAGAGAGAGAGCGAGGGAGGAGGAGAGGGAGAGAGAGGGGAGAGAGAGGGATGAGGAGAGGGAGAGAGAGGGAGGGAGCGAGAGAGGGAGGGAGCACTCCTTACACTATAGCACAGATAGAAGCCTCAGGGTGATACATATTATATATATATTATTCAGAGTCAATGGTGAGATAAGAGACTGTTTCCTTCAGTAGAATCTGTAGAATTTATAATAATGTTATTATTATAATAACAAAAAACTACAGTTTGTATTGTCAGCCACAGAGATATGTTTGCATTCCTATCCAACAGTAAAGTCCACTCAGATCCACTCCATTACATCATCACTTCTCATGTGTTCCCGAGTCCACACTGCCCTCTTCAGGTCTTTTTGTTTTTCAGGACAAAACAACTGCAGTATCTTCAAAACACTGCAGTCCTGGTCTCAGGTCTCTGTCCTGAAGTCCTCTCACATTAGTCCTGGTCTCAGGTCTCTGTCCTGAAGTCCTCTCACATTAGTCCTGGTCTCAGGTCTCTGTCCTGAAGTCCTCTCACATTAGTCCTGGTCTCAGGTCTCTGTCCTGAAGTCCTCTCACATTAGTCCTGGTCTCAGGTCTCTGTCCTGAAGTCCTCTCACATTAGTCCTGGTCTCAGGTCTCAGTCCTGAAGTCCTCTCACATTAGTCCTGGTCTCAGGTCTCAGTCCAGAAGTCCTCTCACATTAGTCCTGGTCTCAGGTCTCAGTCCTGAAGTCCTCTCACATTAGTCCTGGTCTCAGGTCTCTGTCCTGAAGTCCTCTCACATTAGTCCTGGTCTCAGGTCTCAGTCCAGAAGTCCTCTCACATTAGTCCTGGTCTCAGGTCTCAGTCTTGAAGTCCTCTCACATTAGTCCTGGTCTCGGGTCTTTGTCCTGAAGTCCTCTCACATTAGTCCTGGTCTCAGATCTCTGTCCTGAAGTCCTCTCACATTAGTCCTGGTCTCAGGTCTCAGTCCTGAAGTCCTCTCACATTAGTCCGGGTCTCAGGTCTCTGTCCTGAAGTCCTCTCACATTAGTCCTGGTCTCAGGTCTCTGTCCTGAAGTCCTCTCACATTGGTCCTGGTCTCAGGTCTCTGCTCAGGTTTGGTCCATATTTGATACATGCAGTTTCTGCAGGTTTGTTGGCTGCACATCCATGATGCTCCTGTTCCATCCCATAGTGTCTCTATTGGACTAAGATCTGTGTCTGTGGAGGTACAGTGAACTTACAGCATTGCCATGTTCAAGAAACCAGTCTGTGAGGATTTGAGCTTTATGACAAGGTGTTTTATCGGCTGGAAGTCGCATCAGAAGATGGTACACTGTGATCATAAACAACATGGTCAGCAACAATACTCAGGCTGTGGCGACGATGCTCAATTGATACTAAGTACCAAGAAAACATCCCCCACACCATGACACCCCCACCACCGCCTGAACCGCTGATACAGGGATGGATCCTTGCTTTCATGTTGTTGACTCCAAATTCCGACCCTACCATCCGAATGTCGCAGCAGAAATCCAGACTCATCAGACCAGGCAACTTTTTAAAATCTTCAATTGTCCAATTTGGGTGAGTGCGAACTGTAGCCTCTGTTTCCTGTTTTGAGCTGACAGGACTGGCACCCGGTCTTCTGCTGCTGTAGCCGCCTCAAGGTCTGACGTGTTCTGTGTTCAGAGAGGCTCTTGCAGACCTTGGTTGTAACAAGTGGTTATTTGAGTTACTGTTGCCTTTCTATCAGCTCAAACCAGTCTGACCATTCACCTCTGACCTCTGGTATCAAAAAAGCATTTTCGCCATCGACACCTTAGAGATAGTTGTGTGTAAAAATCTCAGTAGATCAGAAGTTTCTGAAAAACTCAGACCAGCCCGTCGAGCACCTACAACCATGCCACGTTCAAAGTCACTTAAATCACCTTCTTCCCCATTCTCATGGCTAAACTGCAGCAGATCGTCTTGACCATGTGACATGCCTAAATGCATTGAGTTGCTGCCATGTGATTGGCTGATCAGGATTTTTTTAAAGTGGCGTTGGATAGGTGTACCTAATAAAGTGGCCAGTGAGTGTATATATATCCTTTACCAGTGTAACATCCTCAGTGTATTGTCTGTGTGTGTGTGTAGTGTGCCCTACCTGAGTGTGACAGAGTGTTGTGTGTCTGTGCCTGCCTCAGAGCACAGACCCAGCGCTGAGCTTCTCCGTCAGACGCCGCCTTCAGGTGGTAGGTTCGTCCTTCACTCGTCAAAACAAAGTGACAGGTGTCTCCAACCTCAATGTGAGCCGTGGCCAGAGAGATGGTCCCCCGACAGGTGTGCGCCATCTCTGCCTGAGTCCTGCAGGACCAGGAGGAGCAGGAGGAGAAGGAGGGGCCGGGCAGAAGGACCAGGAGGAGCAGGAGCAGAACCAGGAGGAGAAGGAGGAGGAGGTGCAGCAGAAGTGAAAAGATAAAGAGGGTTATGACCTCAGAGACCAGGACCCCCAGCTCCACGCACACACACGCACACACATACACACACGCACGCACGCAAACACACACACACAAACTAGACAGTGTTTTCATTGGGGCCTCTGTATGATGCTTTATGCCATCGTGAGGAACAAGAACATCAACAAGGGTTAGGGTAAGTGTTTAAACCTACGGACTGACACGTGGGAACTCCTAAACTTGCATCTTTATCCCCAGAACTGTCCCCGTGTCCCCGCTCCCTGTGGTCCTGTGTCCCCGGTCACCTGTAGTAGGACAGCAGGCCGTTGCTGAGCACGCACCACCGGCGCTGGTATCCCTTCAGGTAGTTGGTCCATTTGAAGAGCCAGCCCCGGTACATGTCCGGTCCCGGGAGCAGGAGGCCGGGCAGTGAAGGGGAGGGCAGGCTCTTCACCAGCGCGTTCATCTCCTTCACCTCCGCCACCGGGAGTCACCTCCTCTGCAACCGGGTGTCACCTCCTCAGAAAACGGGAGTCACCTCCTCAGAAAACGGGAGTCACCTCCTCAGCAGTCTGGGAGTAAACAGCAGCCTGGACCTCAGCGATCCCTGGAGAGGAGGAGGACGGCTCTCCGGTCCTTCCCGGTGCAGAGGCTCCTCTATGACGCGGTCCCCGGACTGTGACCCTGACATAAACACATCCCGAAGCTGCGGTTGTTGCAGTGACGTCCTCTGGAGCTGCGTCTCATCCGCATCAACATCAGACCGGAGCAGATCCCGTTGATCAAACAAGACGTAATGAGTTCGATATGACGCACAGAGCTGTGGACGCGCACGTGTCACGAGAACTGGTTTTAAATTATTCTAAAAAATCATATTTTTAATGTGGAGATGAAACTGCTTGGTCACATTTGGTGCGTGGTCAGAAACCATGAGGCTAAAGGCACGAGGTACGAGGTAAAGAGCGCCCCCTTGTGTTGGGACTCAGAACTGCAGGAGGCTGCGGTAATAATACACAGTATGAGCACAGTATGTCTCTGTAATTTTATATCAAGGTGTTTAGACCACATCCAAGACCATAGGGAAGACCCAGGACACAGAGAACTGTGTCTCAGCTGGGAACGCCTCAGGATTCCCCCAGATGAGCTGGAGGAAGTGTGTGAGAGGGAAGTGTCTGCAATGCTCCAACTGAATTGAAAATGAGTTCAGGCCTCAGGTTTGGCCTGTGCCTGTGGGATCGAACCCGCAACCTTTTATCTGTGACACATGGAGGGCTGCCCCTCCAGTAAGGAGTAAGGACCATTTATTTGTCTTACAGCGGGGAAATGCTGGGGTCGCAGCGCACTATAAGACACAATAATAATAATAATGATCATAATCTTTATTATATCATTATTCATAATAAAAATAATAATAGATTTTATTATTAGTAAAATGTAATACATGGTGCTTTCCTACAAAGATACAAGGTGTGTTGCTGCCCCCTGGTGGCTGCATATAAAACAAAAGGCACTCGTTTCTCGGCCAAAAATATCTGAAAAATTTGTGTGAATCTCATTGTTTATTACCTAACTTTTTTGCTAATTAGATAGCGGCGTTGCTTGCTAGCTTATCCCGGGTTTGTGTGTCTGTTTGATATTTACACTCTATGGTTTGTATTCATCTGGTCATTGCTCTCCGATAACTTCAAACCTTGTGTACATGTTCTCTTGTGGTTCTGTTTTGTTCTAGTTTTACAGTGAAAAATAAACGTGGCTCAAACGAGGACAGAATAAAGAGGTATAAGACAATCTCTGTATCTATATAATATAATATAACATAATATAACACACGCAAAGCTCCATTTGCAGCTGTTTATTCCACGTGGATCAGTAAAATATATCCTCTTACAGATCCTTAAATACAAGAGTAAATGCACGGAGCAGAGTCAGAAGATTCACCGTCAGATTACAAGGGGTTATACAAATCCAATAAATAAGCAAACTCGTAAAAGCTCAAAAGTCATTTGGCATCGTCACGTGAAAAATGTACAATCATTTCTGCAAAGTGCTTTGTGACATAAGAGTCATTAATTTTGAATATTAGTGTTTTAAAAACTGCTGAGACCCAAAAGAAAACCCTGACCTCTGACCCTAACCCTGACCGTTGACCCTAACTATTGATCCTAACCCTGATCTTGATGGTACATTCTCATCTCCTGGTCTCGCAGCACAATGCTTTTTCAATATTCCAAAATGAAAAGTTCCCAACAGCAACCTCCAAGATCATGAAGGAGCCAAATTAGAACAATAGCCCCATTTCCACCAGGCCTACTCTAATCTGCCTGGATGTTTCCATTATGCTTTAGTATCTGGAATTGTATCCTTGCAACCTACCCACACAAAGCAGTATACAAGGAAATTCCTTGGTAACCATGGCTCCCAGCAGCCAATGACTGTCAGTTAGAACCCTTAAGCACCAGCTCGGTCGGTATAGAACCAGATCCAAGAGGGACTAAAGAAGGACCTGGTACTGGTTACAGATGACCAGAAGAAAAACTTCCAATCAGGGGAGAGTAGAGTAGCTCTGGTGAAAACAGGACTTCTGGGAGGTTTGCTCATGAGTCAGATAAAATGTTGCTACAATCAGAATGAAGTAGAGTCAGTTTCACAGTGGAATCGCACTTGCAGCCTGTGACTCCGCCTCCTTCAGGATCAGAGTAAACGCAGACTCCGCCTCCTTCAGGATCAGAGTAAACAGCAGACTCTGCCTCCTTCAGGGTCAGAGTAAATGGCAGACTCCGCCTCCTTCAGATTCAGAGTAAATGGCAGACTCCGCCTGCTTCAGGGTCAGAGTAAACCGTTCAGTTCAAATGGCGCAGGGAGCAGACTGAAGTCAAACGGCACAAACTTCACACCCGTCCCACGATAGAACTTGTTCTGGAACTCGACCCTGAAAGAGAGAATCATATGTAAAACTTTGAAACGTGTGAGATGAAGAGGCGTGGTCTGAGAAGGACACTTCTCAGGTCAGAGGTCAGAAACAGAAACAGTGGGAGAGTCACATGACGAGAACAGAACCCAATCAAAGGAATTAAAATGGTGGGTTTGAGTTTACTTTGACATAATAATGCATCGGTTTTATATCGCGCTTTTTTGGACACTCATAGACGCTTCACATTACATTATTCATTCACTAAAAACACGGTGGTGATAAACTACTACTGTAGCCCCCGCTGCCCTGGGGCACACTGACAGAAGCGAGGCCACCAGTCTCTGCCATCGGCCCCTCCAACCACCACCAGCCATTCACACACACACCAGACTCATTCTAGGCAATGTGGGTGAAGTGTCTTGCCTGAGGAGGACATGACAGCAGTTTGGCACTTTACAGCCGCAACCGCCCAACTGTGGCACCGGGTGTTCCCAGAGGTCTCCCATCACAGTACTGACCAGGCTCTGCCCTGCACAGCTTCAGAGGTCTGACGGAATGCATGCAAGTATGGCTACAAATAGGCAAAGTAGATTTAAGTGTCTTGCCCAAAGACGACAACATCAGCGGGAGTCTGTGGAGAAAGTCTTGTGGTGAGCTCGAACCCACGACCTTCAGGCCAATGCTCAACCAACCGAGCCACGGTCGCTTCAATTGAAATGTAAGTCAAATAGGAGCCAGAGAGCAACCAAACTTTGCCATTGAACTAGCAAAGTAGCATTGATCTAGCAAGTTAGCCTCGAGCTAGCAAGTTAGCCAAGAGCTAGCAAGTTAGCATTGAGCAAGCGGTTATGGAGCCCGTCCCATAACAGGTAAAGAACTAGTAAGTATGTATTTGTGTGCAACACACACACACACACACACATGCACAGACACTAGACACACACACACTGACCAGTGCAGACGTAGAGCGTGAAGGAAAGCAGACAGTCCTTCCATGATGAGGAGGATGGAGACTGTGAGGACGACGAAGAGGCCAAACACCGGCACCAGGACCAGCACACCCAACCGGGAGGAACCATCAAATCCCAGACGCAAGACCATCGCCCAGAGGACCTCCGACAGCTCTGATAGGAGGAGACACACACGCGCACGCACACACACACACACAGGGAGAGAGAGAGACACACACACAGACAGAATGAGACACACACACACACAGACACACACAAACAGGCACAGGCATACAAATACACAGAGAGACAGTTACGCACCCCAGCTTTCTTCAAGGATTTGTTAAACATAAAGACTGTAGTCAGACTCACGTGCATGAGCTAAACTTAGAGCCCAGAGGCGCAGGTACGACGCCGTGTTAGAGATGCAGCCGAGACAGAACTCTATGGTGTGGATGGACTGATGCAGGAGGCAGTCAGCCATGTCCAACTGCAACACACACCAACACACAGGTCACTATGGAGACCGGACCTTTACACAAACTGTGACTATTCATGATTTTAATGCCATGTGTGTGTCTATCTTTTGTTCAGCAGTTGGAAATGCCTTGTTTATGAAGTGTGCTGTACAAATAAACTTGCCTTCCCTGTTTATGAAAGGTTAGCTAGTTAAGAAACATAGCCACTGCTAATTTTGTATATATTGTGTGATCCCTGTGTGCTCTTACTACTGTCCTGTATGTGCGCTGCAACAATGACATTTCCCCACTGTGGGACGAATAAAGGAACTCTTATCTTATTTTAGCTGCTCGAGCATTAACATTTTGGGGTTTGTGTTGCACCTGTTTTGGAAGGGGGTCTCTTCGGCACAGTTCCTCGGCTCCTTCCTCTTCATCCTCTTCATCGTACGTCGGAGCTGAAGAGTCATCCTCACTCACCCTCCTCACCCGCTCATAACCCTGAAACCAGCCACAGCAGAACAAACATCTGTGTCAGGGTGAAGCAGGATGAGGATTAGGCCTCAAGGTAAAGCAGGATTAGGATTAGGCCACAGGGTAAAATAGGATTAGAATTAGGACTCAGGGTAAAGAAAGATTAGGATTAGGCTTCAGGGTAAAGTAGGATTAGGATTAGGCTTCAGGGTAAAGGAGGATTAGGCGTCAGGGTAAAGTAGGACTAGGATTACGGGTAAAGCAGGATTAGGCCTCAGGGTAAAGCAGGATTAGGGCTAGGCGTCAGGGTAAAGCAGTATTAGGATTACGGGTAAAGCAGGGTTAGGTGTCAGGGTAAAGTAGGATTAGGATTATAGCTCACTCGGCGCCGGTGCAGGCCTTTGCTGCCGCGGTACAGCCAGTACAGATGCAGTGGTTTCCCAAACAGCAGCACCGGCACTGACAGCATGGCCACGAGGACCAAGAAGATCTGCAGCCCGCTCTGTGGAGAGACATAATCTGATTTAATTTAAAATAATCCGACATAATCTGACACGGACAACAGAAGATCATAATTTCGTTTATTGAACAATGTACACAGCCATTATTTCAATAGTATAATCCCTGACTGGGGCCTGTATAGTCCTTCACCTGGCCGGTTTTGGGGGGCGGGGCTTACGTGGCCGGGTTCAGGGCGCGGGACTCACCCGGCCGGGTTCAGGGGGCGGGGTTTACCTGGCCGGGTTCAGGGGAGGGGCTTACCTGGCCGGGTTCAGGGGAGGGGCTTACCTGGCCGGGTTCAGAGGGCGGGGCTCACCTGGCCGGGTTCAGGGGGCGGGGCTTACCTGGCCGGGTTCAGGGGAGGGGCTTACCTGGCTGGGTTCAGGGGGCGGGGATTACCTGGCTGGGTTCAGGGGGCGGGGCTTACCTGGCCGGGGAACAGGGGGGCCATGTCCTTTCCCTGCATCACGAACATGTTGATGAAGTGGATGAGGATGCTGGGGGCGCCGCTGGAGTCACGAGCGCTGAAGGCGATCCACTTGAAGACGATCATGAAGACCAGATATCCAAACAGAGAGACCAGGAAAAGCAGCTCGGGCAGGAACAGCAGGAGCACATCATAGCGCCGACCAAAGTGTCTGAAACATCACATCTGAGACATCACAGTCTGAAACATCAGTCAAACATCTCTTTCTGGTCTGTCTCTGATCGCTCCCTGATCTCTTTCTGGTCTCTCTCTGGTCTCTCTGGTCTCTCTCTGGTCTCTCTCTGGTCTCTCTCTGGTCTCTCTGGTCTCTCTCTGGTCTCTCTCTGGTCTCTCTCTGGTCTCTCTCTGGTCTCTCTCTGGTCTCTCTCTGGTCTCTCTCTATGCCTTAGAGAGAGACCTTAGAGTCTAGGTCTCTTTCTCTATTCTCTCTCTGGTCTCTCTCTGGTCTCTCTCTCTAGTCTCTCTCTGGTCTCTCTCTGGTCTCTCTCTCTGGTCTCTCTCTGGTCTCTCTCTGGTCTCTCTCTCTGGTCTCTCTCTCACTGGTCTCTCTCTGGTCTCTCTCTGGTCTCTCTCTCTGGTCTCTCTCCAGTCTGTCTCTCTCTGGTCTCACTCACAGATGGTTGAAAACACTCAACACGACTCCAAACGTCATGTGCATCACTCCGAGGATCACAGACATCTTCATCTTGTACGAGTTCAGGAACGAAAGACGATTCACGGCAAGATTCCAGATCTGAAACAAGGAAACAAGTTAGAGACCAGAGGGAGACCAGAAAGAGACCAGAGAGAGACCAGAGGGAGACCAGAGAGAGACCAGAGGGAGACCAGAGGGAGAGATCAGAGAGAGACCAGAGGGAGACCAGAGTCAGATCAGAGAGAGACAAGAGAGAGACCAGAGAGAGACCAGTTTCAGATCAGAGAGAGACCAGAGAGAAAGACCGAAGAGAGAGACCAGAGTCATATCAGAGAGAGATGTGTGCATGTTCAGGTTTGGTGTGTGTTGCTCACAGGGTCGATGCCCAGAGGGTATGGACCCCTGAAGACACCGCTCACGTTTGGGTCCAACATCAGCAAAGCGTTCGTCTGCAGAGTTTTGTTCCTGCGACACAAACACAAGACAAACATTTACAATAAACTCTGCTGCGTTCTCAACTCTGAAGAAAGTAAAGCTGTGGTGTCCTGGGTCTAGAGTCCTGAGTCTAGAGTCCTGGATCTAAAGTCCTGGGTCTAGAGTCCTGGGTCTAGAGTCCTGGGTCTAGGGTCCATCCTCACGTCCAGATGTGGTTGGAGAACATGGGGGAGAGGTTCCAGCTGGATCCAAAGACGTTCAGAGACTTGGAGAAGCAGTCGTTGTAGATGAGCCCTGTGTACATGGAGAACAGCCCCATCAGCAGCAGGATGTAGCGCCCGCTAAAGAAGGTCTCCCAGATCTGAGGTCAGAGGTCACACAGAGAGAGGTCAGAGGTCACACAGAGGGCAGAGATGTCACACAGAGGTCAGGGGTCACGCACCTCGTTCCTGCAGCGTTTCTTTTTCTGTGACGTCTCCGTGAGCACCATCCACAGAGCAAATAGCGTCATGACGAAACCGTGGCCCAGGTCTCCGAACATCACCGCGAACAGGAACGGGAACGTGACCATGGTGTAGGGAGCTGAGGCAGAGGTCACAGGTCAGAGGTCACACTCAGAGGTCGCAGTCAGAGGTCAGAGGTCAGAGGTCACACTCAGAGGTTAAAGTCAGAGGTCAGGAGCAGCTCTTACCTGGGCTTACCTCGCGGTAGTCTCCGACCCCGTACGCCTCCACGATGCTCTGGAACCCAGAGGTGAACTTGTTGGTTCTGACCAGAGTGGGAGGAGTCTCAGAACTCGGGATGCGGTTCACAAAGGACGGGACTGTGGCGTCGCCTTTTCTCTGAGGAAAAGAAACAACCTCAGTCCTGGGTCTACAGCCTCAGTCCTGGATCTACAGCCTCAGTCCTGGATGCAGCCTCAGTCCTGGATGCAGCCTCAGTCCTGGGTCTACAGCTTATGGCCTGGATCTACAGCCTCAGTCCTGGATCCACAGCCTCAGTCCTGGATCCACAGCCTCAGGCCTGGGTCTACAGTCTCTCTCTCACCGATCCCTCCTCCAGCCCCAGCCGGAGAGCCTGTAGGTCTTGGACGGGACACCACACCTCCGCAATCAGACATTTGTTGGTGACGTCGAAGCTGCAGAGGTTCAGGATGTGGTAAATGGCCTTCATCTTTTTGACCTGAACGACCCACGAGAAGACCGACTCTGAGGCCTTCTGCAGAACCTGCCTCAGGTAGTCCTCGGTGCGGTGTAAGACCTGCCAGACACACAGCCGGTAAAGCTGGGGCACACAACTGTTATGCTTCATAGATATTACTCCCAGCAACAACAGTGACTCACAGGGCTCGTTCCCACACAGAAGGGCCCTGTGAGTCCATTTTTGACTCTTTGGGCTGAGAGCTGATTGTCTGATAGAATTTCTGTTGATCTGAAGATGCGACAGAGGGACCAGAGAGATACCAGAAAGAGAGAGAAAGACCAGAGAGAGAGACCAGAGAGAGACCAGAGAGAGACCAGAAAGAGAGACCAGAGAGAGACCAGAGAGAGACCAAAGAGAGACCAAAGAGATACCAGAGAGAGACCAAAGAGAGACTAAAGAGAGTCCAGAGAGAGACCAGAGAGAGACCAAAGAGAAAGCAAAAAACTGTTCCAAAGATGTGTTTTTTGTGAGGCCAAAACACGCATGTGAAAACTTGAGATAAAAGAAACGGTTTTAGAGCCAAGAACTAGAGAAATGGGTTTATCACAAAGTTCTAATGTGGGGGAAAGTTAGGTCCCCGAGCTTTAAATGATGAGACTAGCGTGGGTTCAGTGTGACGCACGTTGTTGAGGTCTTGTATCCGCGTCCTGAGGCTGTCCAGCACGTCGGCTCGCTCGGCGTCGGTCTCAGGATGTGGGTAAAGATGGCAGCGGTAACTGTGGTCAAACATCAGAGTCAGAAGTTAAAGTCTGAAGTTAGAGTCACCTCAGAGTCTGAAGTTAGAGTCTGAAGTTAGAATCACCTCAGAGTCTGAAGTTTGAGTCACCTCAGAGTCTGAAGTTAGAGTCTGAAGTTAGAGTCACCACAGAGTCTGAAGTTAGAGTCTGAAGTTAGAGTCACCACAGAGTCAAACATATGTTACGCACCAATCACAAATCTTCTGCACCTTCTGCCCGAGCTGATCCCCCCAGAACGAGATCAGAAACACCACACTGTCACTGATGTCCACCTGTGGAGACATACATACAGACAGACAGACACACAAAATGATTATGTCTAACACCGAACCAAAGTACATCTGTGACATGTTAATGCCATATGAGCTAGTGTGTTAGCATTGAGCAAGTAGGTTAGCATTGAGCTAGTGGGTTGAACAAGTGGACTCGTTAGCACTGAAGCCCAGCTATTTTCAGCCCTGTTCAGGTTACACACCAAAACAAATACTTTTTAATGTTTTTTCCAGAATTTATACATGCTGCTGTCTCCCTGTTTAATCTCTCTGTATTCTCAGTGTCTTCTCTGTGTCCACTCAGTATTTTCTCAGTGTATTCTCAGTGTATTCTCAGTGTATTCTCAGTGTATTCTCAGTGTATTCTCAGTGTATTCTCAGTGTATTCTCAGTATTTTCTCAGTGTATTCTCAGTGTATTCTCAGTGTATTCTCAGTGTATTCTCAGTGTATTCTCAGTGTATTCTCAGTGTATTCTCAGTGTAATCTCAGGGGTCTCACCGTGTCGCAGTCCGTCAGCCTTTCGTCGCTGTAGCTCAGGATGGTGTAACCTTTACACACTCTCCACAGCATCCGCTCAAAGGCCTCCACCTTCACTCTCTGGATCAGCCCCGACACAAACCTGCAGCATCAGGAGCCATCAGTGTCACATCAGTGTCATCAGGAGTCATCAGTGTCACATCAGTGTCATCAGGAGTCATCAGTGTCACATCAGTGTCATCAGGAGTCATCAGTGTCACATCAGTGTCATCAGGAGTCATCAGGAGTAATCAGTGTCACATCAGTGTCATCAGGAGTCATCAGGAGTCATCAGTGTCATCAGGAGTCATCAATGTCATCAGTGTCATCAGTGTCATCAGGAGTCATCAATGTCATCAGGAGTCGTCAGTGTCATCAGTGTCATCAGGAGTCATCAGGAGTCATCAGGAGTCATCAGGAGTCATCAGTGTTAGTGTCATCAGGAGTCATCAGTGTCAGTGTCATCAGGAGTCACCAGTGTCATCAGCATCATCAGTCTCATCAGGGGTCATCAGTCTCATCAGGAGTCATCAGGGGTAATCAGTGACATCAGGTGTCATCAATGTCACATCAGTGTCATCAGGAGTCATCAGTATCATCAGGAGTCATGCTGCTCTCACCCGAGTTTGGCGCCAAGCCTCTGCATCCCCGTGGCACTCGGTCCGGAGTCGGTCTCCAGAGCAGGGAACTCTTCATACTGAGGACCAAGAGCCTCGTACTGGTTATAAACAGGAACAGGTTTTATTCATCAGACATGCAACAGCAGAGGTCTGAGGTCAGAGGTCAGAGGTCTGAGGTCTCCACCCCTGCCCACCTCCTTCAGAGTTGCAGCCTTCATTATCATCAGTCCTGTATCCGCTGTGTCCTCTGCCCCCTGTCCTCAGGTGTAGATTCAGGTGTGCATGCTGTGTACAGGTGTAGATACAGGTGTGTATGCTGTGTTCCTGTGTTCAGGTGTAGATACAGGTGTGTATACTGTGTACAGGTGTAGATACAGGTGTGTATGCTGTGTACAGGTGTAGATACAGGTGTGTATGCTGTGTTCAGGTGAAAATATAGGTGTGTATGCTGTGTTCAGGTGAAGATATAGGTGTGTATGCTGTGTACAGGTGTAGATACAGGTGTGGATAGATCCTCACGCGTGTGCGGCTGTGGACGAAGCTGTGTGTGATCCTCAGCATGTGTGTGTACTCTGTGAGCTCCTGCAGGTTCCTCTGAAGCTTCTCTTTGTTCTTGGCCACTTCACTGAGCTCCATCTCCAGCCTCTGCAGCTGCTCCTGAGACACACACGCATTATTACTACTATTACTATTATTATCATTATTATTACTACTATTACTATTATTATCCTTATTATTACTACTATTACTACTATTATCATTATTATTACTACTATTACTATTATTATGATTATTATTACTACTATTACTATTATTATCATTATTATTACTACTATTACTATTATCATTGTTATTATTACTACTATTGTTACTATTATTGTTGTTATTGGGTCGATAGTGTCTCAGTTTGTACACCCATGGTCTTTGAGCCTGAAGGTTGTGTGTTCGATCCCCCCATTTTTTAATGACCAGGTGATTTAAGGGACCAGTGTATTCATCATGTTTCGATCCCGATCTTTGAAACATTATCAATAATAACATGGATCGTTACCATGATCTCCAGCACGTGTCTCGGAGGCGGAGCTACAGGAACCTCGTCTTCTTCTGGGACTGACATTTTGGCTTTTTGGATTTCAGTCAGGAGGAAACCTGCAGACAGGAACCAGGTGAGAGAGAGGCCAGAGAGAGACCAGAGAGAGAGAGAGACCAGAGAGAGAGCGACCAGAGAGAGAGAGACCAGCAAGAGAGCGAGACCAGACAGAGACCAGATGTGGTGGTGATGTCACATCTTACCCAGAATCCTCTCCATCTCGTCGCATCTCTTGATTTCGCTGACAAAGCGTCTCTGGAACGAGCTGACGCTGGGATTCAGCTAAAAGAGAAAGTGACCTTTAACCTTAACCCTGAACCCGACTCTGACTGTTGTTATTGTACACAGTGTAACACAAATGTGTGCGTGCCTGTGTGTATTTGTGTGTGTCTGTCTGTGCGTGTGTCTGTATGTGTGCCTGTGTGAGTGTCTCTATGTGTGTGTGTGTGTGTGTGTGCCTATTTGTGTGCATGCATGTGTGTGTGCCTGTGTGTGCGTGTGTGTGTGTGTCTACCTGTGGGTGTGTGTGTGTGTGTGTGTGTGTGTGTGTGTTTGTGTGTCTACCTGTGTGTGTTTACATATTATTTGCATGTTGTGACGTGTGTGTTTCTGTATCTGGGACATTAAAACATACAACTCACAGTGAATCACACAGATCTGAGTAAACGAGAGTCAGAGGTCAGAGGTCGGGGGTCAGAGGTCAGGGGTCGGTGTGTTCAGGTGGAAGGAGGCGCACACTACACTGATGCAGTAACATCCATCCATCCATTTTCTTCCCCTTAATCCATTTCTGGGTCGGGGGTGGCAGTCAGAGCACCAGCCCCTCACTGATCCTCCTGCAGGTGGTGAGTCCACAGGAGCCTTGATCTTTCAGTGGGGGCTTCAGGCAAAGTGGGGTTAACTGTCTTGCCCAAGGACACAACAACATCAGTGGGAGTCTGTGGTTTCGCTGTGTAATAACGCAGTACTTGTCTCAGTAGTAAGACAATGAGGCAAGTTTATTTGTAGAGCACAACAACAATCACACAGGCATAAAAATAATCACGTTCAAAAGATAAAAGAAAGAAAATAAAATCCCTCAGTTGTTGCAGACACAGAACCATTTTTAACCTGGATTTGAACATTGTCAGAGAAGAAGCCTGTCTCACATTTTCAGGAAGGCTAAATCTGAAATCGTACTCACGTCTCTGAACTCCACAAGCCCCAGCTCTCCCAGAGCGCTGATGCAGTCGTATTCGGAGCCCGACTGAAGGAACAGCTGGGCCAGACACATCTCCTCACTTCGGAACACCATGCTCCTGACGGTCCTCCTGCTGATGTCTCTGATGGTCCTCCTGATGATCCTGCTGATGATGTCTTTGATGGTTCTCCTGATGGTCCTCCTGCTGCGGAGCTCCTGATGATGCTGCTGATGCTTCTGATGCTGATGTCAGAGTCCGCCATGCGCCTCTGTCTCTGCAGCTCAGCAGGACCCCCTGCACACGCACACGGTCAGAGTCCAACATAGCAACACACAAAGACACACACACACACACAGTAACACACAAAGTGACACACACACCACCACAAAAGACACACACCTGCTCCTGCTCCGTCTGCAGCCACAGGAAGCTGGCGTCATCCTGAGATCCGCGAACACCTGTGATTACGAGGCAGATCTGTGGACCGTCCTCAGAAGGAGGAGGACTCACGCGTCTGCAGCAAAACTTATCCTGGACCAGCCGTATGGAGACTGTAGAGACCGTGCAGACCGTGGCCTAAAGCGCGTTGTTACTGAGATGAATAAAGCCGTCTCCTACAGTTGACACAGATTGGCTAACGGGAGTTGCCAGGTCCACGGAATTAGAGGCAGAATTAAGCTTTTGGATCAGGATTTCCACCGGAGAGAGACAAGATCCATGAGAAAAACGCGCGTTTTTGCGTTTGGGTTTGTGCAAAGCAACATTTCAGACACAACTTTAGCAGCGTAGTCACTGAGTCACATCATCATCATCATTTGAGACATTAGATTGACGATTACGCGCCCCTCAACACTTGTTTTATTTTGATACAGCCTGGGTGCACGTGTGACGAGGTGGTGGTTCACGCTGTCACATGTAGTAATAACGTCATAACATATAAAAACATATGTAGCAGACTCTCCATTTGTGATGTCCAGAGAGAGACCAACGAGACCAGGGAGAGACCCGAGAGAGACCAGAGAGAGACCAGAGAGAGACCAGAGAGAGACCAGAGAGAGACCAGAGATAGACCAGAGAGAGAATAGATAGAGACCAGGGAGAGACCAGAGAGAGACCAGAGAGAGACCAGAGATAGACCAGAGAGAGAATAGATAGAGACCAGGGAGAGACCAGAGATAGACCAGAGAGAGAATAGAGAGAGACCAGAGAGAGACCAGAAAAAGGCCAGAGAGACCAGAGAGACACCAGGGAGACCAGATAGGGACTAGAGAGATACCAGAGCCGAGCGAGACCAAAAAGAGAGAGAGACAGGAGAGATATCATTCCAGAAGGAGACCAGAGTCATCCACAGCCCCCGTCGCCTTCTCACATGTCTCTGAACTACAGTGTTTATTTCTACAGACATCGTTTTTACAGATTGGCGCTGATTGGCTCGTGTGAGTTTTTCAGTGTTCATAAAATAAAGATACATTGAACCTGGCAACCCGCGCATCTTCAGTCCCATCACCGCAAATGGACCAATCCCCTGCTTCCCTTTGTCTCCGGCTCATTTGACAGACTGTATACAGATGGACAGTGCTGACCCGCTTGCTCGATGCTAACTCGCTAGCCCAATGAAGCCCATATAGGGAAGTGCTCGTGTTGTAGTTTGGCTCCTCTCTCTGGCTCCTACTTACTTCCATGTGAAAGTGAGCTCCTCTAGCTCAATAACGTTGGTTTCACATTCAGTTCTTTGGGTTTAAATCTGTGGTTTCTCTGGGATCCTGCTGTTTATATCTGATATTGTCCTTAGGCAAGACACTTCCCCCACATTCAAATGAGTGTGTGTGAATGGTTGGTGGTGGTGAGGGGATGGCACAGACTGGTCCTGTCAGTGTGCCCCAGGACAGCTGTGGCTACAGTAGTAGTTTATCACCAATGTGTTTGCAGTGAATGAATGGCTCCAGCTTATCAACATAACTATAGTGATGTCACACTGTGGTGATGTCAAACTCGGTCTTCTAATGACATCAAATTAAATGAACAAACAAATTTACTCAAAAAGTGACATTTTGTTTTATTAAATATTACAATTTTATAACACAGTGGCTGAGTGGTTAACACTTCTCAGCAGAAGTCACTAGTTTCACATCATGTGTTTGTGATGTCACATGTTTAGATCAAAGAGAGGACCATCCTCACTCGGCCAATCAACTCTCAGCCCAAACAGACAGTTAGATAAACCTTCATTTGTCCCATAGTGTTTCAAATAGTGACTCACTCTGGGTCGGTCTCTCTCCCTCTGGGTCGGTCTCTCTCCCTCTGGGTCGGTCTCTCTCCCTCTGGGTCGGTCTCTCTCCCTCTGGGTCAGTCTCCGTCTCTGGGTCAGTCTCCGTCTCTGGGTCAGTCTCCGTCTCTGGGTCGGTCTCCGTCTCTGGGTCAGTCTCCGTCTCTGGGTCAGTCTCTGTCTCTGGGTCAGTCTCCGTCTCTGGGTCAGTCTCCGTCTCTGGGTCAGTCTCCGTCTCTGGACTTCCTCTGGTCGGTCTCTCCCTCTGGATTGGGCTCCCTCTGGTCTCACTGTCTGAGACTCTGAGCTCTCTTGTTGAGCTCCTGGGACAGAGCAGTGACTGTGTCCAGGATCCTCCGTCTGTCCTTGTCCTCCAGTCTCGAGGAGCATCTCTGTGAGAACTTGTCCGGATGCCACAGAGTCTGCTGTTTCCGCAGAACTTTCTTGAACTGTTCTGTGTCCTTCTGGTCCACTCCGTGCAGCATCACGTCCACCATGTCCTGGACGGTCCCTCTGGCAGGCCAGGGGATGTCTCTATAGCTCAGCTTGGCCTCGGAGCTAGAGGGCCTGAAGGTCTCCTCACAGCGCTCCTCGTACCTCCTCTTCTTCCCCTGTCGCGCCTCCTCCTCCTTCCTGGCGGCGCGGGAGAGGTACTCCTGGTGCTCCTTCTGCAGCCTCTGGAGGTTCTCCCTGTGGCTCTGCTCCTCCTGCTGCAGCTGCTCTGTGCTCTTCTTCCTCCGCTTTGATCCTGATCCTGAAGCTGCGAGTCTCTGAGCTTCTGCGTGTTTTTTATCAAAATACTCTTTTCTGATGCGGTCGGCCCAGTCCCCGAAGTCTTCATCGTCTTCATCAACGGGGAGGAAGTCATCAGCTGTTCAACAACACAGAGGTCACAGGTCACTACCGTAAAGAGACTGGCTCAGATCTAATTACAAACATGTCAAGAACATACAGAGACTCAATTCCACTTCTACTGCTGCAGTTCTATGAAGTACACATGGCATCGCCCCTGTCCTGACACAACCACATCGCCCCTGTCTTGACACAACCACATCGTCCCTGTCCTGACACAACCACATCGTCCCTGTCCTGACACAACCACATCGCCCCTGTCCTGACACAACCACATCGCCCCTGTCCTGACACAACCACATGTCCTGACACAACCACACCGTCCCTGTCCTGACACAACCACATGTCCTGACACAACCACATGTCCTGACACAACCACATGTCCTGACACAACCACATGTCCTGACACAACCACATGTCCTGACACAACCACATGTCCTGACACAACCACATGTCCTGACACAACCACATGTCCTGACACAACCACATGTCCTGACACAACCACATGTCCTGACACAACCACATGTCCTGACACAACCACATGTCCTGACACAACCACATGTCCTGACACAACCACATCGTCCCTGTCCTGAAACAGCCCCATTGCATTCTTCACACCCCACCTCTGCAGCCACATACGCTGTAGTAGGAGACACTCACCGTCATAAACACCAAAAGTTTCAAAGAACTCGTCTTCGCATTCATCAAACAGTTTCTCCACCCACTCGTCCTCCGTGCTCCTCTGAGCTCTGCTGCTTCTGCTGCTGCTGCTGCTGCTGGTGTTTGGCTTCAAAACATCAAAACAATAAAGTGAATTTTATACACAATGACTTTTACTTTTTCTATCCTCGGCCGCTATAGAAATGTGGCCAATGCGCCCCCTGGAGGAGGATTAGACACAGCTATATCTGCTGTTTCCAGAGCACACATTCCTGCTTCAGTGTGTTTTTGTGAACAGCAGAGAGAAAGAGGTGATCAGGGCTGTCAGAGGGTGTTACTGTCAGAACAGCATTTCCCAGAGTGCTTTGCTCACAAGTCCACAGTTAAAACTTCTCATCATTAAGGCTATATCCACACGAAGACAAAACGCTTATAATTTCAGAAACTTTTTCTGTAAACACGGAGTTAGCTCAGTAAATGTGTGCGTCCATATGAATGTAGTCAATACGCCTGAAAACGCTGTGAAACTATGCCAGACCTGTTGGTGGCGCTGTGACGCAATGACGGGATCAAGCCCAAACTTCCGTGGGCATGCGCGGAATTTTGTAAACAGACAACATGGCGAGTGGGCGAGCTGGTACTACATTAGTATGGACGGACGATGAGGTTGAACTGTTGCTTCGGGTCGCACTGGATTACAAAACCAACAAGCTACATTGTTGTTGTCATTATTTTCTGAGTGCGGCGCATGCATGCTTTAACAAGAGGCGGGGCGATGACGCAAGCGTCTCAGATACATTGCGGAGAGGCAGTAACCACGGAGCGGCATATACGGAGTTTTGAAATCTTTCCACTCTGGGACCTAGTTTCAAAAATGTTCGTTTACACCCCCCCAAAACGCCGGCCTCGTATGGACGATACACTGGATTGATAAAGTATTTTTGCGTTTAGGCCTAAGCTTGACTTCGTGTGGACAGGGCCTAAGTCCTGTTGTGTCGAGAAACAACAGTTTCAGCTTTATTTCAATTAGCTGTTGGTGAAATGTGACATCACAACATGAACCGGTGCATTTTGTGAACGATAAACTCAGGATACAGTCCATCGTTCACCAGTTTCAAATCTTGTCACAATAAACACAATCTGCTTTCTCTCCCACTGCTTCAGTTTTGATGTTGACGACGGGTCATAATCCTGGGAGTGGTGTCGTTCACAAACTCGTACCTGCTGTGAGAGCTTGGTCCAGTCCAGTAGATCATCTGGAGTGACTCCTGCTCTGTTAGGAACAAACATGGCTTCAGGACAGTTCTTCTTCAGTGGAACCACCAGGTCATCGTACGCTGGACACAAATAAGATAAGAGATCCTTTATGAACAGATTTTATTTTAACAATCTCCAGCCTCGGTCCTGGATCCACAGCCTCGTCATTAATCGTTATGATTTGAGAATCATAACGAGGCCTTTCTTTTGGTTCTGCGGCTACATGGTACTTTACCAGTGAGAGTACCATGCTCAACGTGGTGAGTTCTAGCCATGGATCTATTATGGTTCTAGCAACCCAGACTTTCTGATTGGTAAAACAGTGGGGGGCAGGACATCGAAACAATAACAAGATTCAGGGGCTGTAAATCCTATATTGAATGTTTAAATGTCTCGGCTGATCTACGGTAGTAAGTGAACGAGGTATTCAAAAAGAGCATGGTTTATAAATGCCTTGACAGATTAGGACCATTTAATGATTTTGCATAAAAACGGTACTGCTACTGTAAGAACTCCATTGGTACATTTACTCTTACGATAAACCATGCAGTTTCCACATTCAACCTTCATTTTTAGAGGGGTAATAACGTTTAGAATCGATCATATTTTTTGAGTGTAACTTATAATAGTCACACAGAGAACACACGGTTGTTTACCAGTCTTCCCCTGCTTCAGAGCTCTGTTTACGGCCGTGTGGAGAGCCGTGTCCCCCTTATGGTCCTTCAGCAGAACCCCGGCCCCGTGTTTGAGCAGCAGCCGAAGCACCGCGTCGTCCCCCAGGCTGCAGGCCAGGTGTAGCGGGCCTCTCTGTCTCCGGCCCTGGGAGAAGTCCAGGTCAAGGTCCTGGTGCTTCTTCAGGTACGACCTGAGCTTCAGCAGACTGCCCTCCTCAATGTACCTCCACACCCGCTTCTGTCTGCGGGACACCATCCGCACACAGACGGAATACACGCCGTTGTTGTTGTGTTAGCTTAGCTGCGGGTTAGCATTCTTCTTCTTCTTTCAATTACTGTGTGGCAACCAGCAGCTTAGGTGTATACCGCCCCCTACTGTGTCTTATGTCTCATGATGCTAGTGTTGGCTACGCTCATGATGTATTATGGCTACGCTCTAATGTGTACGGACAAGGGAAAAAAAATGAATAAAATAAAAGGATTAACTTAATAAAATTAATAATACAAATATTTTATGAAACCATTCTATCCCTTTAATAAATCAGTGCCCTCCTATTTTTGCTGTTCCAGTTCGTACATCCTTCAAAAAACGCTTTTGTCTGTCATATTTTCTGCATTACATTAACACATGCTAAACACTTACTAAACAGTAAGTTACACCACACATACATGAATCTATTAAAGCACTACACTGCACCATAGACTGTGAATATTACACACCGCACACATATCGCTGTCCGTCATCAAAAAAGTTCCGTGAGGATAAAACAGTAGGTATGGCGTTCCGGGTTGAACGGGTCTGACTTGCCACTAGGAGCCGCTGTTGAAGCGTGAAATCTACATCTATAAATCCTGAACATGAGGTTGTGGCCTCCTGCAGAGCTGAGGACGGAGGTCAAAGTTCTGCTGGTGACGCGTCTGAAGCCTGTGCTACAGCTACGGCTACAGCAGACACAGTTAGTGGAGTGGTTTATTGTCATGATAAGTGCAAAAAATAAAACAAACGGTAAATGACCTCTAATAAACGATTACTAAACCTCCCGTCACTTTGACTCTGCACCGTCATTATTATAGATCCATGCTCTGCACAGGTACCAAGGATGGACACACATAAACACACACACTCACACACACACATGCAGCTCGACTTGATCAAGAGGTGAGTTTTTTTAAACTGTGTGTTGTAAACCAATCTGAAGCAAAGCATTAACATCTCTTTCAGTCACAACGCAGAGAGAGACCTTTACATTCTCTTTCAAAACAAATGTATATGTTTTGTTGCTGTGAAACTGGGAGGATCTGCTGCGCTCATGTTTACCTGAGGGTCTTGATCCAACTGGTTCCGTAGCTGTTTTGGTCATTGACCCGAAATCTCTTATTTTTGTGTTTGGCTTTCAGAAACTCAAAGTAAGTGTCAGCAGTCTTCTTCAATGTTCTTCTCTGTCTCTAGGTCAGTGTTTCCCAACCTTTTTGTAGCCGTGGCACAACTTTTTGGTTGACAGCACTCACATGGCACACAGCTGAGACTGATACAAACATGAAACTTTGCATCGTTTAGTATGAAAGCAAAGTCATTCTAATCAAAGTAGATGTATATGGAAAATGAAACAAGCGAAAATAATCTTACTAATCTTCTCACATTATTTTGACCAAGTTTGCGAAATTGGAATATTTCCCAAGGCTCACCAAACAACATCTCAAGACACACTAATGTACCACAGCACACGGTTGAAAAACACTGCTCAAGGTTCCACAAACCACATGAAAAATTAAGGGGTGATAATAGATTTAGATTCAGTGTGTGTATAAGTAGTGTGTGTGTGCGTATGTACTGTGTGTGTGTACTGTGCATGTGTGTACTGTGCATGTGTGTGTGTGTGTGTATGTATGTACTGTGTGCGTGTGTGTGTGTGTGTGTGTGTGTGTGTGCGTGTGTGTGTGTGTGTATACTGTGCATGTGTGTGTGTGTGTATGTACTGTGTGTGTGTGCGTGTGTGTGTGTACTGTGCATGTGTGTGTGTGTGTGTGTGTGTGTGCGTGTACTGTGCATGTGTGTGTGTGTATGTACTGTGTGTGTGTGTGTATGTACTGTGTGCGTGTGTGTGTACTGTGCATGTGTGTGTGTGTGTACTGTGCATGTGTGTGTGTCTATGTACTGTGTGTGTGTGTATGTGTGTGTCTCTGGGACAGCGTGTCTTTCAGAGCCCACACTGGGGCTGATAGAAGAGGTTGATGAACAGAGACTTTGTGCTAAAAAAACAGGTTCAGATCCGGAGTCTGAGACTTCCACTCGGAAACGACGTGTGCTCCCTGACAATCACTGAGACATCTGCACACACACACACACGCACGCACGCACGCACACAAACGCACACACACACTTTCGCTCTCTCTGAGTGTGTTCACAGTAAAGTGTCAAATAATGTATCTAGACTTTAAAAGGTTTTAACTCAAAAACTAAAATTATTGAAATGGTCATAGAAATATTCCAAACACAGACAAATCAAAGAGATAGTGTGGATGAAATCAAAAGAAAAGATTGACAAATACATTGTTGGTGTAGTTTTAAACAAGCCTCTGACTGGAGGCGACTGTGACTCCCACAGATTCACATCAACAACATCAGAAATCACTTCATTTCAAAGAATCATTTTTCTAAAAAAAACCAATGACAATTTAAATGACCCTTGAAAAAATATGGATATGAAACAGTTCTCTTTTATTTCTCCTAATGGACAGAAGATGCATTTGGATTCATTCATTCATTCATTCATTCATTTCAGAACTGTGGAGAAAACATTATTTTAAACTGTTTAACTGTGTCTCAAGTGAACCGTACACTGTCAACAATGTTGACTTTGTGGATTCAATTAAAGTGCATGAGGTACAACAAGCTATTAATAGGCTATCAAATAATAAATCCACAGGAATGGATCATATATGTGCTGAGCATCTTAAATATGCTAGTATGAGGCTGGCCCCTCTTCTGGCCATATGCTTCTCTGCCTTTGTTGTACATGGTTTTATCCCAGACTCAATGATGTCTGTGTTATTGGTTCCTGTGATAAAAGACAAAACGGGGAAAGTGGGCAACTCTGATAATTACAGACCAATCGCCCTGGCAAATATTCTGTCAAAAACATTTGAGCAAATCCTTGTGAGCAGACTCAGTGTTTACATTGGCTCCACGGACAATCAATTTGGCTTCAAAGCCCATCATGGCACTGACATGTGTATTTATGTTTTAAAAGAATTGTTAAGTAAATATAAGTGTAGACAATCCACTGTTTTTATGTGTTTTTTAGATGCCTCCAAGGCTTTTGATCGTGTTAACCATGCCAAATTGTTTCACAAACTATGTCAAGCCAATGTTCCTAAATATGTAGTTCGTTGCCTGTCTTACTGGTATGCCCATCAGACTCTGGAGGTCAAATGGGATAACTGTGTATCTGCACCCTTTCAGGTCAGCAATGGTGTGAGACAAGGGAGTTTGTTGTCTCCAATTTTATTTAATTTTTATATGAATGACCTTTCTAAAGAATTAAACTGGTGTAGAACAGGGTGTGTCGCTGGGGATAACATCGTCAACCACTTGATGTACGCTGATGACCTGGTGATTTTCAGTCCGAGTTCAGCTGGTCTCCAGCAGCTGCTTGATGTGTGTTCGGCGTACGGTGAACAAAACAATATTAAATATAATGAAAGGAAAAGTGTCATAATGACCTGTCGAACCAAAGAGGACCAAGCCCTGGTGTTTCCTGATTTTAAGCTCTCTGGAAACATCCTAAAAACTGAAAGCACGGTGAAATATCTTGGTCATATCCTGACAGATCGTCTGTCAGACGACGAGGATATGTATCGACAGTGCCGTATGCTGTACGCCCAGGCTAATATTTTGTTGCGTAAATTTGGACACTGTTCTAATGCAGTAAAAGTGGCTTTGTTTCGGGCATACTGCACCCCGCTTTACACCGCTCATCTGTGGGTGAACTATAAAAAGTCCAGCCTACAGAGACTGAAAGTGGCCTACAACGATGCCTTCAGACTGTTGCTAAAAAGGCCCAGATGGAGCAGCGCTTCTGAACTTTTTGTGTCCTGTCAAGTGAACTCACTGCAGGCCAACTTGAGGAACCTAATGTACAAGTTTATGTGTCGCCTGGACAATAGTGCAAATATGATGATTTTAGTGTTGACGAGTAGAGCATACAGTGATGTTCGTTATACCTCTGCACTGTGGAAACGCTGGTATAGATGCCTCCTCTAAAGAGATTTGGGGACTTTTAATTGTTTTATGTTGTCTGTTTTCTAGTGTGTTGTGTTTTGTCTATTTTTTGTGTTTTGGACTACGAGTCTGTAATAAAAGCTATCTATCTATCTACTATTCATTCATTCATTCATGTTCATGGTTAGTAATGTTTAGTAACAAGCCACTCATACTTGATCATGCTAGTATGAGAGGCTCGCTTCTCTCTCTCTGTCTCTCTCTCTCTCTCTGTCTCTCTCTCTGTCTTTCTTTCTGTTGCTCTCTCTCCCTCTCTCTGTCTCTCTCTCTCTCTCCGTCTCTCTCTGTCTCTGTCTCTCTACCTTTCTCTCTCTCTCCCTCTCTCTCTCTCTCTCTCTCCGTCTCTCTCTGTCTCTGTCTCTCTACCTTTCTCTCTCTCTCCCTCTCTCTCTCTCTCTCTCTCTCTCTCTCTCACTCTCTCTCTCTCTCTCTGTGGGAGGAAGCTGAGGGTCCGAGGCCACACATACAGAAGGAGCAGGTCTGGTCTCTCTCTCTCTCTCTCTTATCTCTCTTCTCTCTCTCTCTCTTATCTCTCTCTCTTCTCTCTCTTCTCTCTCTTCTCTCGCTTCTCTCTCTTCTCTCTCTTCTCTCTCTATCTCTCTCTCTCTTCTCTCGCTCCTCTCTCTCTCTCTCCCTTTCTTCTCTCTCCCTCCCTCTTTCTGTCTATCTCTCTCTCTCTACCTTTCTCTGTCTCTCCCTCTCTCTGTCTCTCTCTCTCTCTGTGGGAGGAAGCCGAGGGTCCGAGGCCACACATACAGGAGGAGCAGGTCCGGTCTGTAGCTCCCTCCCCATTGTTCTCTCACTTCCTGTCTGTTCTGATTTATCAGGGCTGGGGGTGAGTGTCATCAGTCACACGTTTATACGACTCTCAGAGAAACCACTTCCTCCAAACATGGACCATGGACACAGAGGACCATGGACCATGGACACAGAGGACCATGGACCATCACACAGAGGATCATGAAGCATCACACAGAGGACCATGGAGCATCACACAGAGGACCATGGACCATCACACAGAGGACCATGGAGCATCACACAGAGGACCATGGACCATGGACACAGAAGACCATGGACCATCACACAGAGGACCATAGAGCATCACACAGAGGACCATGGACCATCACACAGAGGACCATGGAGCATCACACAGAGGACCATGGACCATCACACAGAGGACCATGGAGCATCACACAGAGGACCATGGAGCATCACACAGAGGACCATGGACCATGGACACAGAGGACCATGGACCATCACACAGAGGACCATAGAGCATCACACAGAGGACCATGGACCATCACACAGAGGACCATGGAGCATCACACAGAGGACCATGGAGCATCACACAGAGGACCATGGACCATGGACACAGAGGACCATGGACCATCACACAGAGGACCATGGACCATCACACAGAGGACCATGGAGCATCACACAGAGGACCATGGAGCATCAGACAGAGGACCATGGACCATCACACAGAGGACCATGGAGCATCACACAGAGGACCATGGACCATCACACAGAGGACCATGGAGCATCACACAGAGGACCATGGACCATGGACACAGAGGACCATGGACCATCACACAGAGGACCATGGACCATCACACAGAGGACCATGGAGCATCACACAGAGGACCATGGAGCATCACACAGAGGACCATGGAGCATCAGACAGAGGACCATGGACCATCACACAGAGGACCATGGAGCATCACACAGAGGACCATGGACCATCACACAGAGGACCATGGACCATCACACAGAGGACCATGGAGCATCAGACAGAGGACCATGGACCATCACACTGAGGACCATGGAGCATCACACAGAGGACCATGGAGCATCAGACAGAGGACCATGGAGCATCACACAGAGGACCATCACACAGAGGACCATGGAGCATCACACAGAGGACCATGGACCATCACACAGAGGACCATGGAGCATCACACAGAGGACCATGGAGCATCACACAGAGGACCATGGACCATCACACAGAGGACAATGGACCATCACACAGAGGACCATGGAGCATCACACAGAGGCCCACATTTAGTTGTGTCTGTAAACTGCATGTATCATTTATTTTTGTCACATGGAACTGTTTTCATTCTCAGCATGAAACGGATCCTCACACAAACACTTCAGATGTGTGTGATCGCCGTGACGACAGTGTGATCGCCGTGACCACCGCGTGATCGCCGTGACGACTGTGTTATTCCCGTGACAACCGTGTGATCACCGTGACGACCGTGACAGACAAATAAAAATGCCTTTAAATCCATAAACTCTGAAAGTCTGTGGCTCGACAGGTGGAGGATCCTGTGACATGTCGTAAACACACTCAGTGTTCTGCTGGTCCTGGTCTTGGTCTTGATTTTGATCTTGGTCTTGGTCTTGGTCTTGGTCCTGGTCCTTGTCCTGATCTTGGTTTCAGTCCTGGTCTTGGTCCTTGTCCTGATCTTGGTCTTGGTCTTGGTCTCAGTCCTGGTTCTGGTCTCAGTCCTGGTCCTGGTCTCAGTCCTGGTCCTTGTCCTGGTTCTGGTCTCAGTCCTGACCCTTGTCCCGGTCCTGGTACTGGTACTAGGACTGGTCCTGACCCTGGTCTTGTTCCTGGTCCTGGTCTTGGTATCAGTCCTGGCCCTTGTCCTGGTTCTGGTCTCAATCCAGGCCCTTGTCCTGGTCCTGACCCCGGTCTTAATCCTGGTCCTGGTGCTGGTCCTGGTCTCTAGTCTTTTTATTGATGCTGCCTTCCTGTTTTTAAGGTAGTTTTGTGAAGTTTTTGTACACAGTTATTTACAGTTTTGAAAGAGTTTTGAAACAGTCTTAGCCCTGGCCCGGTTTGGTTCCAGTTGTTGGAGGTGTTTTGAACAAAGGCTCGGAGCTCGTCTGTCGGAGATTAAAGCAGCGATGAAGGAGCAGAGACCACTGTGCTGCAGCTGTCGCCTTTTTACTCAGAGACCAGAGACCAGAGACCAGAGACCAGAGACCAGAGACCAGAGACCAGAGACCAGAGACCAGAGACCAGAGACCAGAGACCAGAGACCAGAGACCAGAGACCAGAGACCAGAGACCAGAGACCAGAGACCAGAGATCAGGGATCAGGGACCAGGGACCAGAGACCAAATGTCACGTGGTGATTTGAATGAGGACCCAAAATGCAGGAATGCCAAAATAAACGGAATTTAATGATGAAAAAATAAAAGTGCAGGAGAAAACAAACTCAAAATCCAAAAGCACAGGGAACACATAACCAGGAACAGGACAGAACAAATGTTGACAAGACGATGGACCAGCAACAAGGGCGGGGCAGACAATCAAGACAGGGGAAACAGGACAGGAAGTCAAACTAAAGCTAATTCACAGATAACAGACGTCAAAATAAAAATAAAAATAAATATAAAATCCACACCATAACACCAAAGACCAGAGACCAGGGACCAATCAGGGACCAGAGACCAGAGACCAGGGACCAGGGACCTATCAGCGACCAGTCTCAGTTAAGGGGTCTCGGTCATGGTCCTGGTGATGAACCTGTCATCTAAAATGAGTTCAGTAGCATTAACCACTGGCCTCTTCTCTGTCTCTGGGATAATAATGTTAAATAAAAGTTAAATAATCTCAGTCTGTTGATTGATTTTGCAGCGACTATTGTCTACTTTTTAACTTGTTTGTACGACACAGAGAACACAGTACACAGAGAGGATAGTACACAGAGAACACAGTACACAGAGAGGACAGTACACAGAGAGGACAGTACACAGAGAGGACAGTACACAGAGAGGATAGTACACAGAGAGGATAGAACACAGAGAGGATAGTACACAGAGAGGATAGTACACAGAGAACACAGTACACAGAGAGGACAGTGCACAGAGAGGACAGTACACAGAGAGACAGTACACAGAGAGACAGTACACAGAGAACACAGTACACAGAGAGGACAGTACACAGAGAGGACAGTACACAGAGAGGATAGTACACAGAGAACACAGTACACAGAGAGGACAGTGCACAGAGAGGACAGTACACAGAGAGACAGTACACAGAGAGGATAGTACACAGAGAACACAGTACACAGAGAGGACAGTACACAGAGAGGACAGTACACAGAGAACACAGTACACAGAGAACACAGTACACAGAGAGGACAGTACACAGAGAACACAGTACACAGAGAACACAGTACACAGAGAGGACAGTACACAGAGAGGATAGTACACAGAGAACACAGTACACAGAGAGACAGTACACAGAGAGGATAGTACACAGAGAGGATAGTACACACAGAACACAGTACACAGAGAGACAGTACACAGAGACAGTACACAGAGAGGACAGTACACAGAGAGACAGTACACAGAGACAGTACACAGGGAGGATAGTACACAGAGAGACAGTACACAGAGAGGACAGTACACAGAGAGGATAGTACACAGAGAGACAGTACACAGAGAGGACAGTACACAGAGAGGATAGTACACAGAGAGGATAGTACACAGAGAGACATTACACAGAGAGACAGTACACAGAGAGAACACTACACAGAGAGGACAGTACACAGAGAGGATAGTACACAGAGAGAACAGTACACAGAGAGGATAGTACACAGAGAGGATAGTACACAGAGAGAATAGTACACAGAGAGGACAGGACACAGAGAGGATAGTACACAGAGAGGATAGTACACAGAGAACACAGTACACAGAGAACACAGTACACAGAGAACACAGTACACAGAGAGGACAGTACATAGAGAGGACAGTACACAGAGAGGGCAGTACACAGAGAGGACAGTACACAGAGAACACCGTACACAGAGAGGACAGTACACAGAGAGGACAGTACACAGAGAACACAGTACACAGAGAGGACAGTACACAGAGAGGACAGTACACAGAGAGACAGTACACAGAGAGACAGTACACAGAGAGGATAGTACACAGAGAACACAGTACACAGAGAACACAGTACACAGAGAGGACAGTACACAGAGAGGATAGTACACAGAGAACACAGTACACAGAGAGGACAGTACACAGAGAGGACAGTACACAGAGAGGACAGTACACAGAGAGACAGTACACAGAGAGGACAGTACACAGAGAACACAGTACACAGAGAGACAGTACACAGAGAGACAGTACACAGAGAGGACAGTACACAGAGAGGATAGTACACAGAGAGGATAGTACACAGAGAGACAGTACACAGAGACAGTACACAGAGAGACAGTACACAGAGAGACAGTACACAGAGAGACAGTACACAGAGACAGTACACAGAGAGGATTTACATGGTCTCTGGCCCCTGAACCATCAGGGCCTCAGACTCGGCTCAGTCTGAGTCTCAGATTATCCCCGTCTCCTGCTGCTGCTGTAAACGCTGAGCGGCTCATTACTGCGTTAATCACACCCTGCTTTGTCTCCAAACTCAATCTGACTCTTCTACTGTCTCCAAAAATAATGATTTATACCAGTTTATTGACTGTGTATGTGTGTGTGTGTGTGTGTGTGTGTGTGCGCGCATGAGTGTGTGTGTGCGCGTGACTGTGTATGTGTGAGTGTGTGTGTGTGTGTGTGTGCGCGTGAGTGTGTGTGTGTGTGTTTGTGTGTGTGTGTGTCTCTGTTGGCATTCTTACAGATGTCATATTGTGCCACAGAGGGAGACAGAAATCTAATTGTGTTTGTGTCTAGTTCCTGGCTCTAAAAACAGTCTGATGCTCTCTCTGGTCTCTCTCTGGTCTCTCTGGTCTCTCTCTGGTCTCTCTCTAGTCTCTCTCTGGTCTCTCTCTGGTCTCTCTCTCTGATCTCTTTTTCTGGTCTCTATGGTCTCTCTGGTCTCCCTCTGGTCCCTCTTAGATCTCTCTCTGGTCTCTCATGGTCTAATCTCTCTCTGGTCCTTCTCTGGTCTCTATGGTCTCTTTGGTCTCTCTCTGGTACCTCTCTGATTTCTCTGGTCTCTCTCTGGTCCACCAAACCTCAAACCCTGTGTCTTTGGCCTCTGTCATATCTTTAGGTCTGTTTTTTTTCAGACAACAAAGTGAAAAGGAGAGAACCACCCTCTCTCGGCCAATCATCTCTCAGCACAAAATAGTCAAAATGCGACTCACACAAAGAGATCACCTTTTCTAACAAGATGAAGACAGCATGTTGTGGTGTGAACATCAAAATCTATGAATGATTATATACAAAAGTCACGTCCCCCGGCTTTAGGTCTATTGTTATTTTGATGTTTAGAAATGTGGGGAGTGACTAAACAGACGTTGTTGAAAGAATATTTCCTGCAGACACTTTGATTCTCGAGCTCCACACAATGGGAGGCTCACGGAAGCTCACGGAGGCTGACATTCCCAAGACTTAAGAAACGCAATTACAACTCTCAACTTTTTTCAAAATCACTTTTTTATTACAAAATCATAATCACAGTTCGATGAGAGAAAATACAGGAGAACACAGTCCAGGGTTTCTCTGACTCAGTCCTTCACACTGTAGCGACAGTCGTGTTAATTGGAGCTTTGAGCCATTTTTCAGCTGCCATCTGTCCGTCTGCTGCACCGTCTTTGCTTACAACACTTTTTATCAGCTCTCAACACCTCTCTGGGCCCGACACACCCTCCCAGTCTGGCCACGACCAGCGAGAGACCAGAGAGACCAGAGAGAGACCAAATAGACCAGAGAGAGATCACAGAGAAGCCAGAGAGAGACCAGAGAGAGGCCAGAGAGAGACCAGAGAGAGACTAAATAGAGAGACCAGAGAGAGACTGGAGAGAGACCAGAAAGAAACCAGAAAGAGAGACTGGAAAGACCAGAAAGAGACCAGAGAGAGAGGCTCCAGAGACAGAGAGCAGGGGGAGACCAGAAAGGCGGCAGATCTCACACCTCACTCTGGGAGGCGTTCACACATTAACTTAACGTAACAAGTCCACAAACACAACAGGAATGAGTCCAGTTTTCAAGTTTTCTTTGTGTTTGGTCCATTCCACTCCAAACTCGTCCCTGCGACACAACAGACTCATGGCTTTTGTGGTCCGTTCCTTCAGCCGGGAGTCTGTCTGGGAGCTACCCAATTCTGCCGGGTCAGAGGGGACAGGAGGCCCCCAGGCGGCAGAGACCAGAGCGAGTTCCGCTGCTTCTGCGAGTGTCTCTAGTGTCTCTAGTTTCTTTAGTGTCTGTAGTGTCTCTGAGTAGTTTTGGTCACACCTTTGTTGCTAGCGACTGGGCTTCTGTCTTCTGGGAGGACAGAGACCCCGCTGGACTGGCGTGTAAGGACTTCTTTAGGTTGAGGAGACAGAGACACTGGGATCGGAAGCGCAGGTCGAAGAAGGCGTAAAGAAACGGGTTGAGGCAGCTGTTGACATAAGCGAGGCAGGTGGCGTAGGGGTGAGCGAGCAGCAGGAAGCGCAGGAAGGAGCAGGTGGCGGGGGCCAGGTCCAGGTACGTCAGGGCGTCTGCGCTCTTCAGGACGTGGAAAGGCATCCAGCAGGCGGCAAAGACTACCACCAGCGTCGTGATGATCTTCAGCAGCCGCCGCTTGCGCTGGTCCTCTTTGCGCAGCGTGTTGAAATGGCGCGTGACGGTGCAGCCGATGAAGCCGTAACACACCATCATGGCGAGGAAGGGCAGCAGGAAGCCCAGCGCCGAGGACGAGATGCTGAGGCCCGCCACCCACAGGTTCTCCTGCCCCTGCGTCACGGAGCTGAAGTCCATTCCGCACAACGTCTTGTTGCTGCTGTGGTCCAGTTTGGTGGTGCGGAACAGCAGCGTGGGTGCGGCCAGCAAGCACGACAGCAGCCAGATGGCCTTCAGCGAGGACCGCACGTGCCCCCGCGTGTGCAGCTGCGTGGACGACAGCGAGTGGACGATGGCGAGGTAGCGGTCGAAGCTCATGCAGGTGAGGCAGAAGACGCTGGCGTACATGTTCAGCAGCACCACGTAGCTGCTGATCTTACAGAGCGCCACCCCAAACGGCCAGTGGTACCCCATGGCAGTGTACACGGCCCACAGAGGCAGCGTCACCACGAAGGTCAGGTCGGCCAGCGCCAGATTCCCAATGTAGACGTCGGCCGCACGCCGCTTGCCCTGTGCTCGCCACACGGTGAAGATGACCACGCCGTTCCCCGACAGCCCCAGGATGAAGATCAGCATGTACAGCACCGGGATCACGGAGTACGACGGCACCCACTCCGAGAAGTCGCACATCGTGGCGTTCTCCTCCTCCTCGTAGTCGTAGTATTCGTACGGAGCAGTGACGGCGTCGAGGTCCATGGTCCCTCTGCAGCAGGACCGAGAGGACTAGGACTGGAGAGAGGACTGAGGACTAGGACTAGGACTAAAGAGAGGACTGTGACTGGTGACTGAGACTAAAGACTAAAGACTGAGACTGAGGCTGAGGCTGAGACTGAGACTGAGACTGAGACTGAGGCTGAGACTAAGACTGAGACTGAGGCTGAGACTGAGACTGAGACTGAGGCTGAGACTGAGACTGAGACTGAGACTGAGACTGGGACTGAGGCTGAGACTGAGACTGAGACTGAGACTGAGACTGGAGACTGGAGACTGTTGGTGCATGAGAAAAGTGCACAGGCTTTAAATACCCCAGACTCCTGCCCTGCCCCTCTGACCCCCCTCCCCTGATGGCCCTCCCCCTCTCGCCCCCCTCCCCCTCTGCTGCTCCACCCCCTGATCCCGGCTTCACTTCATTCATGCTGTTGACTTTAATGATGTAAAATGAGAAAATATTGTTTTATTGTTTTAGGAGTTTTAGAGTTTTAGAGAATCCAGGACACTCCACGTTCAACAACATTGTTATAATATTTATGGTCCTCTGGCTCTTTAAGGATCAATGGCTTCATATGTTTGTTATCATTGTATTTCCTGTGTTCCTGTGTGTATTGGCAAATTGACAACTTTTTAAAGTCCTCTGAGATAACAACTGTTGTGATTTAGGGCGAGGGTCCATGATCTCGAAGTCAAAAACTTTGGCTCAAGGTGCAAACACTGTCCCTCTCTGGTCTCTCTCTGGTCTCTCTCTGGTCTCTCTCTCTGGTCTCTCTCTCTGGTCTCTCTAACTGGTCTAGGGATAAAATATAATATTTAATGTGGGACACAGGGACAGTAGGACATGTGGGGACAGAGCTCTGTGTCTCAGGGTGGAGCCCACTAGTCACTAAAAGGTCCATTAAAATATGAAGAGACAGTCGTTCTGTGAGATTCAGCTGCTGCTGCATGTGTCCAGACCTGTCCTCTGTCCTATATATGTATGTATATCTATATATAGATATATATAGATATATATAGATGGAGATATATATGGAGCAGTGTTCTCAGATCCACATCTCACTCAGCAGCTCATCTTTTTTCAAACTCATCTCCGCTTCCGCCTCATTATCAGATAATTCACTCATCAATGTTATTTACCCTGAACAACAACAGCAGCAGTAGCAGCAGCAGCAGTAGCAGCAGCAGTAGCAGCAGCAGCAGCAGCAGCAGTAGCAGCAGCAGCAGCAGCAGCTACACACACTCTCAGGCCTTTAACAGTGACTTTAAAGCGGCCTGATGGCTGTGTGTTGCTATGGTGACAGCTGTGTGATATGCATTTATGATTAAAATGATCATAAATAAAAGTGTTTTTGACCTTAAAAACAACTTTGCGAGGGAGTTGTGGTTTATTTTAAATTATTATTATATTTGAACAGATTCAGGAACATTACTGAAAAAATGTAGCATCACCAGTTTCATGGATCGGAATGACAACAGCTTTTTTCCAGATAGTGGGAAACAGATTCTGGGAAATAGAATCATTTATCATTTTAGTTATGGGTGGGATTAATGCAGTGCTGAATTCTTTTACCATAAATGTGTCCATGCCAAAAACATCTTCAGTTCTTGATGGTTTCAGTGACCCTCAGAGAAAACACATTAGATGCTTCAGTAACTTTAAGTGGGTTTTTAGCACTGGTCCATTCACTCTATGGACAAGTCTTTACGCTGCAGTACTTGATCCAATTTGTTTTTGATTGGAATTTCTGAACATTTCCTGCATGTTTTTGGGAATCCCCACATATTCATCATTAATGGTATTGGTCCTGTGGATGAAGTTCTTAATGAGCTCGTCCTCCAGAGAGCAACCAGAGAGAAACCAGAGAGAGAGACCAAAGAAAGATCAGAGAGAGATCAGAGTGAAACAAGAGAGAGACCAGAGAGAGAGACTAGACAGAGAGACCAACAAATGACCAGAGAGAGACCAGAGAGAGAGAGACCAGAGAGAGAGATTAGAGAGAGAGACCAGAGAGAGAGATCAGAGAGAGAGACCAGAGAAAGACCAGAGAGAGAGATCAGAGAGAGAGACCAGAGAGAGAGACCAGAGAGAGAGACCAGAGAGAGGCCAGAGAGAGACCAGAGGGAGACCAGAGGGAGACCAGAGAGAAACAAGAGAGAGACCAGAGAGAAACAAGAGAGAAACAAGAGAGACCAGAGAGAGACCAGAGAGAAACAAGAGAGAGACCAGAGAGAAACAAGAGAGAAACAAGAGAGACCAGAGAGAGACCAGAGAGAAACAAGAGAGAGACCAGAGAGAGACCAGAGAGAAACAAGAGAGACCAGAGAGAGACCAGAGAGAAACAAGAGAGAGACCAGAGAGAAACAAGAGAGACCAGAGAGAGACCAGAGAGAGACCAGAGGGAGACCAGAGAGAAACAAGAGAGAGACCAGAGGGAGACCAACCTTCACAATGTTTCTCAAACTGTGGCTCGTGAACAATCAAAGCAGCAGTCACAGTGTGCGTTAATCATTTGTGCATTTTTTTATATTGTCTCATGTTTGTGCAACGCTCTTTTGTTTTTGTGTCGCTGCTTTTACTAACTGCTTTTTATGTTCGTATGTGGCGTTGATCATTGCTGCTGGACTCGCGCTTCTCAGCAAGACGGTCTTGGGTTCATATCCCGGTTGGAACAGGGCCTTTAATAGTGGAGTTTGCATGTTCTGCCGATGTCTGCGTAGGTTTCCTCCGGGTGCTACCACTAAAAATATGTATGATAGGTCTGAATATAATGAGCGAGTGAATGGATGGTGTTTGGTCGGAGGCTTTGATGGACCAGCGTGTTCGGCGTCTCGCTTCTGTCATTACTGTGTGGAGAGAATGGAACAATATCTCAACTCTGAACTTTGTAAAGTGCTTTGAGTGACCTTGGTCTGTAAAAATCTGCTTATATAGATACAATTGACTTACTAATTACTTACTACTTACTAATATTGGGCGTCTCTGCTTAGACTGCTGCCCCCGCGACTCGCCAACGGATGAAGCGGAAGAAAATGAAATTGAATGGAGTTAATAAATGAATAAATCCTGGAGAATTTCAATGAACTGAGCCTATTTTTGAAGTTTTTTTAAAAATCTGGACCTGTTAAATGTTGGAGTACTTTCCATTGGCTGTGATGTTTGCACCCCCCCCCCCCCCCCCCTTCCCCCCCTCACCCTTTCCCCCATCATTACAGGACAATGGCCCGCATTAGTGTGTGCTTCCTATCGGCTGCTCGCTCTGTTTTTAGCCGCGTCCGCTGACAGCCACATGAATATAGCGGAGAATCATGAGGCAGAAGAATGGGCACATCCTCCACACTCACTTTCAGAAAAACCCCTCGTTCGTCTCAGTCCAGATGGAAAACACATTCTTCATCTTTAGTTTGTGCCGAGGAGGAGAGATAGCGACGACTTCTGACTCTGGCCTTGTTTTGACCAGTTACATGGACTTTGCTTTGTTCCCTGGTTTGGGACAAGGGTGATGTGTTCTCTCATCATTCATCAGTCACAGTAAGGTGACTTTTCTGACCACCTGAGAGAGAAAGAAAGAGAGAGAGAGTGAGAGAGAGAGAAATAGAGAGAGAGAGAGAGAGAGGGAGAGAGAGAGAGAGAGAGAGAGACCAGAGAGAGAGAGACCAGAGAGAGAGAGAGAGAGAGAGAGACTAGAGAGAGACCCGAGAAAGAGATCAAAAGACCCGTGAGAGACCAGAAAGAGAGTCCAGAGAAAGACCAGAGAGAGACCAGAGAGAGAGACCAGAAAGAGAGACCAGAAAGAGAGACCAGAACGAGACCAGAGAAACTAGAGAGTGACCCAAGAAAGAGAGACCAGAAAGAGAGACCAGAGAGAGACCAGAGAGAGACCAGAGAGAGACCAGAGAGAGACCAGAGAGAGACCGAAAGATAAACCCGGTTATAGTAAGGGACCACTGTATGTTGAGCCACCTGTGTGTGTGTGTTGTTGTTGCAGCATGTTTGGTTCTGTGTGTGTGCGTCTGTTGTGTGTGCATGTGTATAGTGTTGTTGTTGCCTGTGTGGCCTTGTAAACCACACACCATGAAGATGTTTGTAAAGACACATCTCTTTAGTGATGCCACACACACAGGGCCCACACTGAGGCCTGGAACAAGGGAGCGATTAAATTGTATAGCACACTTCACACTCACTGCGCGTCACGAAAACTGGAGTCACTGGAAGTTTTGGATTACTCTGTTTTAAACGCAGTCTTCTGTTCGGCGGTGTTTTGACTCTGCGCATGTCAACATCAGAGTTTTGTGATCTCCGACGACGCAGCTGGACACTGGTCGTCCTGCTCCCTCTGGACCAGTCCTGTGTGTTTGTCACTACTGCACTTCCTGTGATTCATCTGTTTTGTTCTCTGGTTTCTCTCTTGTATCTCTCTGGTCTTTCTTGTCTCTCTCTCTGGTCTCTTTTCTCTCTCTGGTCTCTCTCTTATCTCTCTTTGGTCTCGCTTGTCTCTCTCTCTGGTCTCTCTTGTTTCTCTCTTCTCTCTCTCTGGTCTCTCTCTGCTGTTGTGACACTCAAATGCATAGTATTGAAAAGTGTTGTTATGGTCTCAGAGAGCGTCTGTGTTGTTCTGGTCTGAGAGAGAACTTGTGTTGTTCTGGTCTCAGTGAGAGAGAGAATCTGGACCGTAAATGTCCCGTGGTCACCTGCTCTGGGACATCTGTGCTGGACCCTCCTCTGAGACGCTGACCTCAGGCTGAAGATATAAATAGAAGTGTGAAAGAGATGCCGCTGTTTCAGGCTCATCACGAGAAGCAAAACAGTCTTAAACATGCAGGTCCACCTTAAACAGCATGTCCACCTTAAACAGCAGGTCCACCTGAAACAGAGATGTTTGTGATGTTCTTGAGGAGACAAATTCAGATAATCACATTTAGTTTTTCAGTCAATAACAAACGTCCAGCTCAATCCTGCAGTAATTTGCAAAACTGACCCCGCTCCG